TGTTGAGCACGTTGAGCTCACCTACACATACAGACTGCCTGCAGTGCTGACTCCTGTGTCACTGAAGTCAGTAGTGCCACCAGTCGCGTTGTTGAGCACGTTGAGCTCACCTACACATACAGACTGCCTGCAGTGCTGACTCCTGTGTCACTGAAGTCAGTAGTGCCACCAGTCGCGTTGTTGAGCACGTTGAGCTCACCTACACACACAGTCGCCCTGCTGTGCTGACTCCTGTGTCACAAAAGTCAGTAGTGCCACCAGTCGCGCTGTTCAGCACGTTGAGCTCACTTACACACACAGACGGCATGCTGTGATGACTCCCGAGTGCCGGAAGTCAGTTGTCTTTCTATCCCCCCTGGTTGCATGTCTTATATTTTTTTATTCCGGTTTGCCTAAGCCTAGACTTTGATTTTTAGCTCCTTCTCTACTGTGGATTTTGATATTTTTGTCTGTGTTAATCTTTTTGGCATCTAATTTAGTCAAATACTTTGTTGTCCTTGATTTTTTTCATTCGTTTTACATTTGTTTTACTGATTCATGTTTATTGCGATATTTTTGGTGTTTCGGTTGTGTTCCCTTTCGCGTTGCGGTACGCACGGCCCGCGACTCTTTTGTTTAGCCAATCGCCCAAAAAATACAACGCAGGTAGGTTGGACGTTGCGCTAAAGTATGCAGGATATTTTAAGAAATTAATTTTTTTATTGCGATTCTCTTGCAAATTCACGACCCAAACGGCTCAAAAATTCCCGATTTATGTCTTTTTAACTTTATTCAAACTGATTTTTAATCAAATGTCACATACTTAACGCAGGGATGAAGAATGACAACCCGTTTTAACAGCCTCCATAGTAAATTTAGAGGGTTCAAAGTTAAACGAGAGGTCTGAATGGGAGTCATTGACTCCAGTATGATTTTATTTCCTAAGTCAAAGGAAGAGAGGCCCACATCGTCACTGCAGCGGCTAAATGACTTTTTAAAAATGAGTTAAATTACTTTCGTAGTTTTATTTGCCGCCGGAAACCTCGTAAAACTCTGAAGAATGTTGACGGCAGATTCATAACACCTGCTGATCAAAAATCACCCGTAGGTAAAAGTTGATATTTTTGACAGGATGTCGGACAGAAGGACATAAGTGTATTGCCAAAATAAATAGTCGAATGAAGAAATTAGAAGGAACAGAACGGTAATCAGTAATGTCGCAATCCCATTATCTGAAATCGGAGGGAGCGCTGTAGTGTTTGTTAGCGTTTTATGAAATCAAAAAGTCCGCATGGAGTCTGTTAGACAGAAAATAAGCCTTACAACTTGATTTGCATACTCCAGTTACAACAAATGTAGAACAGCCCAAACGATCAACAAAAGGCTGTGATTTCGACAAAAGACCCAGCCCACCCTAATTCTCTAAAAAACGATGATGGAAATTAGTTCGATTTACTATTGTTCTTTGCAGGATGCTAAACGGACGGAAAGTACGCGGTTTCTTTAATGTAGAAACTTTCACAACTGTTAATCGATGTTGCCAAATATTTAAAAAACGCAGCTCCTTCGTACCAGGCTATCGCTCGCCCAACATAATTTAGTCTGGCTCCCACGGCGGAGACATCTGTAACCAGTATTTCTCTGTTCTCTGTAATAACGTTTCATTTCCTGGGTGGGAATGACAGCATATTGAGGCTGTCGGTTGGTTCACAGCCGACAGTTACAGTAAATTTCAATAGCTGTAGTTTTTGTCATTTGCTTACGAAACCGTGTTTTAAACCATGGTCATACTCGCTCAACAACTCCGATCATAGGACTTATCTTAATGGAGCTACCCACCCTGCCCTCATTCTTCCGTAAAGCAGCGCGCACGATTTTACGCCTGTTTTAAGGGTAAGTGGCTCGTATTTAGGCACATATGAGAGGTCAAACACCGCAAACGACGATGTCCACCAACGTGTGCTATGGCTAGGACTGTGCTGATTTGCCGTGAAGTTGAATTCTCTAGTGTTGGTCACCCTCTCCATTATCTCTAACACAAGTCAAATGACTGCGCGAGTCGGTCAGTCATCTAGTGCTGGGATTCAGCACAGTGACCGGCAAAGTTACATAATCGTCTATACCTAACACAGACGACCTGGTCTCAACAAATGGTGCAAGGTTTTCACAAATAGAAGTAATCCGAAGAGCACGCGAGTGAGAGTGTCATAAAGGCCAGATTCAGACGCCACCACTAGCTTTGTCTCTCAGTCCTCTTGCCAGTCAACTCACATACACAATACTGACCAGGTGGACAGATTTGGCCTGTTAATTGACAGCCTTCCGATTCCAAAGTCAGGTGAGTCGTGGTAGAGTTACGCGCATGGGAATGGACATGCATGAGTCTATCCCCAAACCAATATAATTAATATCCTCTGACAACTGACGCCAGTCAAATGAGAAAGTACACCTTAGCCACGTGAATCTGACGTGAGCCATATTGTTGTTTAGGATTTTGGAGATTTGCGGTCGTTTTAGCGCATTAACAATAGCATATGTTTTCTCTAATTCACAGAATTGTCATAACCCTGGACAGTGGCCCTGAACTGTCAGTCGAAATATTTGACCAGACCGTCCAATGAGGTAGGGAGGCTGTCGTGTGTGCGTGCGTGCCCAACTTGTTCCCTCCAAACGGGCCACGTGGCAGGTTGCTGGACCAACACGTGGGCCATATTGGACTCTGGCAGGCGTTATCGGCTTTGCGCATCGTAACAAATGCCTACATTTTCGGGGTGCAATAGCAAACGTGGTTGCCGGCGTACGTGACGACAGTTCGACCGTCGATTTCGACGATGTCCATCGTGTGCCCCACAGCTGCGGCAGCGGTGGGAGCAGGGACGGTGACTTGCGCAGGGGTTTATAGTGCCGGTAGACTTGCGCTGCATCTACCTGCACTCTCTCCTCCTCCCCCGCCTGGGCCCGGTGTCAAGACAGAGTCAAGAAGACCGGAGACGAGAGAGGCCGCAGGTGGTTGGCTCGGACGGATCCTCACCTTGGCGTTCCATCACACCCCCTGGTCCAAACAACAATAACCAGGATTTCAACCAACACAACAGAGATTTGGAGGCTGGCACGGCCGAAGCCGCACCTAGGCGTGCCGCCAACGCCTGGCTCGGATCCCACGCTGTGGTGGGAATGCCATAAAAGCCACATTAAAAAGGAGCCATTGCAGCCTGACTCTCAGACCGCCTCCCGTTAAGGAGGAGGTCCAAAGTACCCCGTCAGTTGGCAACCTTCCAAGCCACGGCTTTTAGCGCACCGTGATAGCTTCAAGCGCGTCAGATTGATTATAGTGAGGAGAAAGTGCGCTGAGTCGTCGACCTCACTCTCCCTTCGCACTCCCACACCCCAGCCGCTGTCCGAGCCGGTCAGCAGACTGGAGTGGGGAATGGGCGTTGTGGCTGACATGGTCGACTGACCATGCCTGCGCGCGCCACAGCACGACCTGGCCCCCCATACACACACAAACACCAGGATTTCACACAACGGGGGTAGAACGGCGTGTCTCCCACTTGCGTGAGAGGGCCGTGGAAGGTGCTGCTTCAGCCCACCCCCAGCCCACCAGTCCGCCACTACACACAACACACACACACAACTTGACGAGCTGCGTGAACCGAGAGCAGGCCTCAATCAGCAACCTTCCTATCCACGACGCTTGACGTGTCGGGATAGTCTCGGACACAAGTCACCCGTGCAGCCGAAGCCGCATGGGGATCGAGTCGAGATGCACACTTCCCACTTGCGTGGGAGGCGGCAGTTGAGTGCATGAGGTGTGTGAGGGTTGATGTCTGGTGGGGTGATGGTGTTAGGAGGTAGGGAGTGAGGGAATGCGTGGTGTGACCGGCGGTTGTCTACCGCAGGTCGTCGTGGATGCGCATGTGGCCGAATAGACCCATGCGATGTGTGAAGGTGCGAGGGCAGTGTGGGCAGTGGAGGTGAGTGTGGTGGGTGTAGGTTGGTGCACCTGGCACTGGTTCGCCAGTCTCTGTGCGATGGATTCGCAAGTGACCCACCAGGCCGATGCGTGAGGTGAAGGTGCGTGGACAATGTGGGCATGAGAGGTTGGCGGTGTCGGTGTCAGCTGTAGAGGAAGCAGTGGTGTTGGTGGTGGTGGCGGTGGTGGTCGGCGCGTGTGACGGTGGAGCGAGGATGGGTCTGGCCGTGTTGGATGTCGTGGTTGTATCGGAATTGTGGTCAATTCCGCTCTCGTGGATGCGCATGTGGCCGAAAAGGTCCATGCGATGCGTGAAGGTGCGAGGACATTGTGGGCAGTGGAGGCGAGTGCGGTGGGTGTAGGTTGGTGCTCCAGGCACTGGTTCGCCGGTCTCTGTGCGATGGATTCGCAAGTGACCGTCCAGGCCGATGCGTGAAGTGGAGGTGCGATCGCAGTGAGGGCAGGTGCAGTCCTGATCCTAATCAGTGGTATCGGGAGAGGTGAGAGAGGTGATTTCGGTTGTTGTGTTGGGGTTGGTGATGTGTGAGACGGCTGTCTGAACGGCCGCCGCTGGGGCAGTGGAGAGGGAGGAGGAGGAGGAGGACGACGAGGAGGATGGAAGTGGTGGTTCAGAAGAGTTATCAGAGTTAGTTGGTGGTAGAGAGGACGAGGAAGAGGCGGGCGGGGTGACGATGGCTGGAGCAGTTCGAGAGGCACAGTTGATTCGAAGCTGTCCAACAAGTCCGATTCGTGCCCGGAATGTCCGTTGACATCGAGGACACGTAGGGGGAGGTTATGCGGCGGCGTTGCGGACTGGGCGAAGTTGTGATTTGCGGGCTTCGCGTTTCGCTTTGGCGGCGGCGATTCGGTTGGCTTCATAGATGGCAGCGCCCGTCTTCACTGTTCTCCTCCATGTCGAACGATCGCGAGCGAGATATTCCCAGTTCCTCGGGTTGATTTGCAGGCGCTTCAGGGAGGACTTCACAGTATCCTTGTAACGGAGAATTCGGCCTCCTTGACGACGAGAACCCGTCGCGACGTCTCCGTAGAAGAGTCGTTTGGGTAGTCGCTCGTCGTCCATGCGCACCAGGTGGCCGCTCCAGCGCAGCTGAATTTGCCTCAGTATGGCGTATATGCTGAGGATTCCCGTCCGTTCCAGCACATCAGTGTCGGGGATTCGATCCTGCCAGTTCAGCCTCAGGATGCAACGGAGACAACTGAGGTGGATTGGTTCAGTCGGCGTGCCTGTCTCGTGTACACCGTCCATGTCTCTGCTCCGTACAGTAACGACGGCAGGATGACGGCCTTGTACATCTTCAGCTTTGTGCTCAGTTGGAGACCGTGGCGATTCCAGACTGTGCTTCGGAGGCGTCCGAAGGCTTGACTGGCTTTCGAGATCCTGTTGGCGACTTCGTCATCAATCTTGGTGTTGCGGGAGAGGGTACGGCCCAGATATGGGAAGTTCTCCACCACTTGAAGTTGGGTCCCATTCACGCTGATTTGCGGTGTGCGTTGGGGGCTGTGGCCGAGTTGGGTGGCGGTTGGTGCATCACCACCGTCTTCTGTGTGTTAATGACCAGACCGAAGTTCTTGCAGGCGGCGTAGAACAGGTCCATGCTCCGTTGCATCTCCTCTTCCGAGGTAGTGTTCAGGGCGTAGTCGTCGGCGAAGAGGAGTTCGTGCACGGTGGTTGTGGATACGCGCGATTTGAAGTGCATCCGCCGTTGATTCAGCAGGTGACCGTCCGTTCTGTAGGCGATGCGGATCCCGGGGCGTTCGTCGCGGTAGGCGTCCATCAGCATGGCAGAGAACATAAGACTGAAGAGGGTAGGCGCCAGCACACAGCCCTGCTTCACTCCGTTGGTCACTGCGTATGCCTCTGAGACAGCTCCGTTGTCCGTGACTCGCTCCATCATACCGTCGTGCAGCTGACGCACCATCTGAGTGAATCGCTCCGGACAGTCGAATTTCTGCATGATCTTCCACAGTCCTTCACGATTCACCGTTTCGAAGGCTTTCGTCAGGTCCACGAAGGTAGAGTACAGGTGGGTCCGCATCTCCTGGCACTTCTCCTGAAGTTGGCGAGCTGAGAAGATCATATCCGTGGCCCCACGATGACGACGGAAGCCGCATTGGCTTTCCGGCAGAAGGCCCTGTTCCAGATGGATGTTGAGGCGGTTGAGCAGGATGCGAGCGAAGATCTTCCCGGCGATGTTCAGCAGGGAGATGCCGCGGTGATTGTCGCAGACTTGGCGATCCCTTTTCGCTTGTATAGGTGCACGATAGTTGCGTCTTTGAAATCTTGCGGGACTTCACCTTGACGCCACATCTCTTGGAAGAGCGCAGTCAGGTGATCCGTCAGTAGGGGACCTCCGTGCTTGTAGACCTCAGCAGGGATGGCGTCCGATCCGGGTGCTTTCCCGCTAGAGAGCTGCTGCACGGCACTGATCGTTTCCTGGAGAGATGGCGGGAGGTCGAGGTCCACGTTGGTCTCCACTTGCGGCAAGCGGGCGATGGCTGCGTCGGAGATGACGGAAGGGCGGTTGAGGACGCCTCGGAAGTGCTCGGCCCATCGTTGTAGGATTTGCGTCTTCTCAGTCAGGAGAGTGCTGCCGTCGGCGCTGAGGAGAGGAGAAGTGCCCTTCGTCGGCGGACCGTGGACAGCTTTGATCGCGGAGAAGTTCTTCCATTCGTTGCGGTCCGCGTAGCCTTGGATCTCCTCAGCTTTGCGAGCAGTCAAGGCGTCCTGCATCTCGCGCAGTCGTTGCTGCAGTTGGCGGCGACTGCGGTAGAAGGCAGCTTTGTTGTCCTCAGTGGGGTGATCTACGTAGGCTTTGTGTAGGCGGTTCTTCTCAGCTAGCAGATTTCTGATGACGGCGCCGTTGTCGTGGAACCAGTCCTGGTGTTGGCGGGGAGCGCGACCGAGGACGGCGAGCGCCGTCGACTGGACCGTGTCTCGCAGTTGACACCAGCGGTTCTCCACGGAGGCGTTCTCGGCAGCGGCGGCATCGGTGATGGGGAGGTTGTCTAGCCGTTGAGCTAGCTCATTGCTGAAATGAAGATGATGAGCGGACAAAGACAACAAAGCAACATTCAGCTTACCTGGGGGTCGCTTACCTTGTGGTCTGCTGCGAGGCTGTAGGCGAATACGCATCTTCGAGATGACGAGGCGATGGTCGGTCCACCCGTCAGCACCCGCGATCGCCTTCGTCACCAGCACGTCCCGCTGATCTCGCCTCCGGACGAGGACATAGTCCAGCAGGTGCCACTGGCGCGACCGAGGATGCCTCCAGGTGGCCTTCTCTCGCTCCGGCAGACAGAAGAAGGTGTTCGTCAGGATGAGGCGGTGTTCTGCGCAGGTGCGGAGGAGCAGCAGACCATTGTCGTTGGAGCCGCGGAGACCGTGAGGACCCAGCACTCCCCTCCAGGCAGTATGGTCCGTGCCGACGCGGGCGTCGAAATCGCCAAGGACAAACAACTTGTCCGCCTTCGAAACAGTCGCCAAGAGGGCGTGCAGGTCCTCGTATAATTTGTCTCTTGAGGCGGCGTCGGGGCTGCTCATAGGCGGAGCGTAGGCGCTGATGATGGTGGCGAATTTGCCTCCCCAGAGAGGCAGGCGGAGGCTCATCAGGCGATCGTTGATGCCCTGCGGCAAACAGGGCAGTCGTCCCACGATGTCGTTCCGAATGGCGAAGGCGACACCCGCGTCCCGTCGCTCTGCCCTGGGTCGACCGCTCCAGAAGAAGGTGTAGCCGGCACCCACCTCCTCCAGTTGGCCTTGTTCGGAGAATCGGGTCTCGCTGCGTGCGGCGATGACCACCTTGTAGCGCGCCAGTTCTCGTGCCACTAGCGCCGTCCTCCGTTCCGGTCGGTTGCTCCTCGGATTGTCTAAAAGGGAACGAACATTCCAGGCTGCCAGAGTGAGCGGGCTCACCCTGCCAGTCTGGCGACTGCGGCGGCGAAAAGTAGGAGTAGGAGAAGAAGAAGAAGAAGAATAGGCTGGAAGAGGAAGAGAGTGATTGTTGTTGTTGTTGTTTCGATTTTGGCTGTTTCTTCCGTGTGTTTTTTGTCTGCGGCCACGGCCAGCCTACAGACAGCGTGGTTCCCAGCTATCTTTAGGGCACCTTTTCTAGCCCCCTCCCCCTCGCGGGGGCAGGCAACGCATCCCTGAACAGGGCTGCCCGGTTATCCCAGACGGCTGCCGGACTCCACTATGGGCCACGACTTTTTGTTAGTGAGAGAACTACCCGAATTAGCCTGGGACCTTGGTGGTGATGGTGATGTGATGGAGTGAAGTAGGAGAGAGCATACACACAACCTAACGCTATGGGACTTACAGCTAGCTAGAGTGGACAGACAGACACAGTCATCAGTCAGAGACAGAAGTGAGAGTGCACCATTCAAGTGTCAAGCACCGTAACACCTAGCTATTAGCAGAGAGAGGCATAGACTGACAGACAGATAGACGCAGCAGGCATCAAGAATTTCATCTAGACAATAACAGACAGACTAGGGCAACAAGAGCAGCGTACGACACGGAACTTGAACAGACAAAGGGAAGGAACAGAGCAAATGCACTTACCTGAGGAAGAACTTACCTGGTGGCCTCCTGTGATGGTCCAGGCAGAGCCTCGTCTCGACGATGTCGACGCGAAGATTCATCCGGCCAGCGAAGACCACAGTACCGCGTGTGCAGGTGCACGCACGGATACCCTCACCTGGTTTAGCCCGCCGGTCGAGACGATTGCCCAGGGTGTGGCCGCTGAGCAGAGCCCAGCTACGTGGAGCCACAGGTGAGAGTTAGGTGCCAGCAAATGGACGCTAGGCGTAGTCTCACCTGTAAGCAAGTGAGCGACCACTACGACCATCACGTGTACCCACCGCTGACACCCGTACACCCCGCCGGCGTACGTATAGCACTCTGGAACCACGCCACCCCCACCCCCCATTGTGTCGGTTTATCAAAAACCTGGATATTTTGAGTGTGGACTAGGTGGTGCGGAGTTGAGCGCCAAGGTGCGAACTCGACCGTGCCATCCATCTGCTACCTCCCATCTCCGATTTTCTCGACTCTGTCTTGACACTGGGCCCAGGTGGGGGAGGAAGAGGGAGTGTGGTGGTTTCTGGGCAAGTCTACTATCACTGGAAACGAAATTTGTGCACAAGTCATCTTCATACTCCCACCCTGTTGTGGCGCACACGGTGGACATGGTCGAAACTGACTGTCGAAATATCGTGTATCCGGAACAAATAACTCCCGACCGACCAGAGAATTCACCACTAGCAGCTCCATAGCAACAATCGACTCTACATACCTCAACACACCCTGGCCACACTGTCACCGCACCTTTCCGTCCCGCATCGGCCTGATCAGTCACTTACGAATCCACATCACAGAGACTGGCGAAGCAGTGCCTGGAACACCAAAATACACGAGACGCCATCGACTCGATCCTCTCCATTGCCCTCGTATATTCAGCCCTCGTATGGGCCGACTCGACCATATACACCTCCACTAAAATGCGAAGCAAATCGCCCCAAACTAGATCACAACACCACACATTTCCCCACCAACATATGCATCACACATGAACACCTCCAACTTTACAAAAGGCAGGCACCTCTTACATAAGTGGGAAGGGTGTTCTTAAGCTTCTTTCTCCGTGTAGATCCTTCGCAACATCTGAGGCGCGAGCAGTCTAGTCCTGTGTGGAATCGTGGTGCGTGCGTACGTGGGTCAAGGCAGTGTGAGTCACCTCTTTCAATCCCACCATCAGTTGGTCGCCGACTCGGACAGTGGACTGGTACCTCGGAACGGGAAGAGAGAGGGAGGTCGACGATCTCAACACATATTTTTCACTTGAACCATTGTGAGGAGTTTTCAGACTGTGACGGTGCGCTATAAGCCATGGTTTGGAAGGCTGCCAGCCGACGGAATAACTCGGTTCTCGCCGTCAGTCCGGTGTGTGTTTATGTGGTGTGACTACCTTGTGAACTGAGAGTCAGTATGTAATGATTCCTTTTTAATATGGCCTCTGTAGCACTCCCACCAAGTGGGATTCGAGTCGCCTTTTTTTCTTAGTGTTAAATCCTGATTAGTGCACCATGTGGACCAGTGAGTGAGAGGACATGCTTATTTGAGGGTTTTAACCATGCCATTAACGCATACCCAACACTACCTGCCGTCTTCTCGACTTGGTTATGGTACCTGGCCCAGGTGAGGGAGGAGGGGAGAGTGCGGTGGATGCGGCGCAAATTTACATCACCATAAAAGAAATTACGCGCAAGCCACCTTTCCTTCTCTCACTCTGCTGTGAAGCACACGGTGAACGTCGTCGGTTGCGACGGCCGAACTGTCATGACCGATTCAAATGAACCCTATGAGCGGTCATGTCGCAAATTCAGTAGAACGACAGGGCGAGAGATTAGGCACGGGAGGCGTTACCTAGGCTGTACAGAGAGCGCACATATTATATCAAGCATCACACATGAGGTATGTGATGGCACGCCTGGGCCTAGGCTCATGAGACACCAGCCATCTGAGCCCAATCGCAGCTTCAGATGGCTGTCCAGCTCGAAAAGTGAATTAGTGCATTGGTATCAATAATGAGGTCGACTCTGGGGACTCCCTCCCCATGACATTCAGCGCCATTTCCTCGCTACAAACCCCCTGGTAAGCTTTCAAACTATCACGATGCTCTAACAGCCGTAGCTTGGAAGGCTGCCAGCTTAAGGACTAACTCAGTCCTTTCCAATGGATGAAGAGGCGGGTTGCAAGATCTGTCCCTTATGTAACGCCTACGGCACTCCCTCCTGGATGAGATTCAGGTTGACTCCTAGCCTCCATGAAACCCAGTCTATTTCACGCTTACCAGGCTGTGTGTGGCACGTGTAGATTGACTGTTTAGCTTCGCCAGCCGTTGTACTCTGTCTCGCTTTTGGCCTTTATGACTTTTTCGTGAAACCGAGCCTGGGAGGGTGGAGGAGGGGGGAGTGAGACGGATGCTGCACAAGTCCACTGCCACTTTATAATAAGTTACCGCCCTGCGCCCACCACGCGGTGGGACACACAATGGACATCGTCGTTCACCGCGGACGACCTGACATATGTCAACCTCTCGAGGAAAGGCGAAATGTTCAGATTTGGTCCTCAAATCGAGACAGATTGGTGAATGTCATTACGTTAGCACTTTGAACATTCGCGATCTCGGCTGACGGAAACTGGTCGGAGGCGAAAAAGCAGTTTTGGTTCGAGAACCTGGTTCATCCTACCCCAGAGTTTGGGGCGTGATTGCTTGCTGGCGATGGATAAGTCGGTGAAGGTTGGATATTTAGCCTTTAGTTTTGTTATTATAAAATATCCACTTAATTGAGGAAAAAAAGAAGTGCTCGCCGGATCGAGGGAATTGTCTTACTGACGTTTCGGAGAGCTTGACGGACTCTCCATCATCAAAGCCTTTAGAACAAAAATCGATCAGAATTTTGAATAGACAGCCGAATTAGTTGGCCTTGGGCTGATTGTTTTTTTCTTCTTTCGATGCCTTGGCCTACTGGCCGTCGTTTATGAGTGTTGGAGGCCTCCTGTGTTATGTGTCATCACCGCAATTGGGGTTAGTTAAGTTTGTCCCCTATTTGGGTAAATAAGTCGGCGGGCTGTGCTTCCTCAGTATTCTTAAGCTCCTTGTAGCTGTCTTGTCCTGGACATGGCATATGTAGTGACGTAGGATTATATAGACCCAGGAGAGGTCTAGATGCCTGTTAATGGAGTTGGTTTCTGAGTACCAAACCTCAATTGTGAGACCTGTCCTTGATGTGCCCCAGTCTAAGACTGCCGCTCCTTGAGAGTCAAAACTGTGGCCAGTTTCTCCGATGTGAGTCGCGAGCTGTAGTTTATGTCTAGTCTCCGAACTGGCAGTTTTTGCTCATGCAGACGAGTCTGCAATTTCCGTCCGGTTTCCCTAACGTAGTTGCAGTCTCCATTGTTACAACGTATCTGATAGAGAACGGCTGAGGTTTCAGTGGGTGGCAGTATGTCTTTGGGTTACATCAAACGGCGAGAAATTATTGCCTGGGGTAAACGGGCAATGCATACACTGGCGGGTTATAACATACGTGAAGCGGCCTCCGAGACTCCTTTAATGTTAGGAATAATCCTCCAGACTTCGGGTTCTTCTTTCTGTGGCTGTAGTCTGTCAACTCGGCGCTTGCTTTGCTTGATAAAGTGGCTTGGGTATCCATTGGCCCTAAAGGGGTCATGAAGGTATTGTTTTTCAACTCTTTTGTCGGCTTGTTTGCTGTAGTGTGTTTCAACTCTTGAAATAGAGTACGGGCACCGTTGCGTTTGTGAGAGAGGGGGTGATGACTGCTGAAGTGTAGTATTTGTCTTGTGTTTGTGGCTTTTATGAAAACGGTAGTTTGCAATTGCCCAGCTGCACACCGACGCACAAGGACATGGAGGAAGGGAAGTTGGTTGGTTTTTTAAACTTTTTTTAGCTTCCATCGTGAATTGGAGATTCGGGTCAACCGAGTTCAGTAATTATTTAAGGTGCTCCACGTCAGATACTGAAAGTGCCATTGACTTACTGAACACAGAAATTTGGTTGATACTTGGTAACTACCGAGTAACATATCCGTTGAAGGGTCACTTAAGCAATCAGAAGGCATCTAGACCTCCCCTCGGTCTGTATAATCCTACGCCACTACATACGCCATGACCAGGACAAGACAGTTACACGGAGCTTAAGAATACTGAGGAAGCACAGCCCGCCGACTTATTTACCCAAATAGGGGACAAACTTAACTAACCCCAATTGCGGTGATGACACATAACACAGGAGGCCTCCAACACTCATAAACGACGGCCAGTAGGCCAAGGCATCGAAAGAAGAAAAAAACAATCAGCCCAAGGCCAACTAATTCGGCTGTCTATTCAAAATTCTGATCGATTTTTGTTCTAAAGGCTTTGATGATGGAGAGTCCGTCAAGCTCTCCGAAACGTCAGTAAGACAATTCCCTCGATCCGGTAATTACTTCTTTTTCCTCAGATTATCGACCCGGATATCTTACGTTTGCTATCTGGAGTCTACTTATTTCCTTCACGTAGCCATGTTATATTGTTGCGCGGTTGCGATTAAGCTTACGAAAGGGTCAAGGCTAGTGTTAAGGTCGGGGTTAAGTTCTAAGATTAGGCTAAGGTAAGTGGTCAGAGCTAGAGTATAGTCCTAATGTTAGGATTGGGGTTGAGTTTGCATGCCACATATCGTCTAACCCAATCCTGTCATCATTAGCCAATAGCCACAGATTACCTGTTTTTCGCCCGGTGGCGCGCCTTTAATTCATAAATTTCAAATTGCTCGATCTGTTCTGTCACCTCTTTGGGATAGTAAAGCAGGCACATAGCAGAAATGTGAGTCGCCTAAATTCCTTCTGTAGATTCCCTTAATTACCGCTCCCATCTGTGCCACACCTAAAACTACTATCAACATCCTCCCCGTATCACATAAGTACCTGCGCTCCAGTGGAGCTATACACTCAATCTTCGCAGATAAGTCGTAAACGGGTATTCCATTTTTTATTCTCTTTATCGGTAACACATAGATTGCAGACTGCCAGCCGCTTGATTTCCGTTCACTTCTGACTGGAAGCTGGATCATCGCATTCGATGTTCACTGAGAGCTAGTACGCAGATCATGCGCGCGATGCAGGAGCGCGGAAATAACTATTGTGACAGTGAGCGTGCCGGCGTCGGAGAGTGATTCTCAACAGCGACGTCAGAAGGGGGAGGGATTTATGCACTCCTGGCCGCCAGATGAATCATGACTGGCTGGCTTGACCGAAGAGAGTGATACGACCAACCAATCGGGAAATAAGCAAATAAGCTGAATTATGCGTGAGAGCAAGATGAGCGACAGTGGTGGCGTACGATCCAGGTCAAAGGATCTGAAAGCGTGTGCTATGCCATTATCAGCAAACCATGGCCTTCACAGAGTGGTATGCGCTGACATTTCCCTGATATGTGCAGTATGTTATTGCCGACAAAGACAAGGGAGACTGGAATGACCATTTCTGGCTATGTAGCCGTCGTCAGCCAGTCATACCCGGCCCCGAAGTGTGGAACACCCGAGGCTCGAACTCGCGACCTGTTAGTTAGAAGTCCACGCCTCTAACCACTGGGTCAAGAGCCCGTCGTCCTGTCGGTTTAGATCGAGAATATACAATAGTAGGGGGCGCTCACCGATCGTTCTTACGGAACTTACTCGCTACGTTGTGCCTTACGGGCTTTCCCTCTCTCGAGCCCAACCCTGATACCTGGTTCCCTGCCGGCAGATGCGCTTGCGCTTCCGTTGGGTATACAGGTGGTGGTCATGGCTACTGAGTCGTCCTCGTCCTTCTGACCACTGTTGGGTGTTGTTGTCATTGTTGGTGGAAAATTCTGGTCAAGTGTGTGTTGTGGATCAGGGGTGTGGTGGCACGCCTAGGAACGGGTTCGGCGGCGCCAGCCACCTGCGCTCTCCTCCATCTCCGGTCTCCTTGACCATGTTTTGACATCGGGTCTAGGTGGGGGAGGAGATAGTGCGGTAGATGCTGTGCAAGCTTACCATCACTATAGACTAATTCACGTGTCCGTCACTGTGTCTGTTGTACTTTACTGTGAGCACACGGTGGGCATCATCGGAATCGACAGTCGAGCAAGCCAAGATGCGTGGGACTAGCGCAGACAGGCACTAAGCGGCGGCAACCGTGCCTCAACATACTTGATGGCACAGTATGCAGCATAGGCAGAAGACATCGTAGAACACATCCGGGTGACCAGTTTCTACCCAAAAACAGGAGAATCACAGTAGCTCCAATTTAATTATGCTGATGAACGCCAGTCGTTTTTGGTTTAAATAGCTCTCATGCGCCTGAGGATAGGCTAATCCAAAAAAGCTCGATAAGTAGCATGTCTCGTGAAACGTTGATCAAAATTCTAAGTGGTTTTGATCAGAAGGGATAACCTGGATGAGGTTGTAATAGTTATTGTCGTGAAAAATTATCCCCAAAATATTGTAGTCACACCGGAATTCCGTATTTGGAATGCGTTTCTTCCAGAACGCCGACAAATATCGGGCCGCCTACGTAGTATGGATATTCTTTATTGATTTTCGATGTCATTGTGAATTCATATATATTTCGTTGGAAAGACATACAAAAGATTCTTGTACTTATTTTGTATCATTCGTTTTGAAAACGATTTTGAATTTCCCGAAAAATTCTGAACTCGAACTTCCGTCGGACTTGCGTTTGGAGTTTCCAAACTCCCGGCATGTAAGGAAAATCATGCGTCTTTGACACTGTTTGTACGACGTCACATAGGGGTCATGAAATTTTTCAATGGATGTGGACATCGAAAATCAGTGGAAAAAGTGCATACTACATATGTAGTCATATTTTACAGTCTGGAATTTGTGAGCGATCTGAAAGAAACGCATTCGAAAACCGATATCCTGATGCTGATGAACTGTCTCGCAATTTGGCAGCACGATAATCACTATTACAACCGTATACGAGCAATCCTTTCTAGTCAAAAACACATTTTAGAACGTCTTTTAACGTTTCTTGAGATACAAGACCTATCCCAGTCTAGTGGACACTTAAACACCAGCGTGTGATGCCTGTTCCGAATCTTTGACCTTCGGAGTATGCAAGACCCGCCTGGGGCTTTTGCACGTTCAATACACATAAATCGTACAAGATTGTTTGGAACATTTCCGGTGTGACGAGTTGGAGTTTAAATCAAAATCAATATTATGCAATTAGTGGTTTGTGTGGGCTTAGAGCTAAGGGATACACCTGCTATGAGTTACAGGTCACTCCTTAACGGCAGGCGAAGATACAATTTCAAGTCCCGGCTGTCTGAGTCAAAACCAACCAAACAGCAGGTAAACCTGAATGATCGAAGTTCCCGTTGGATTCCTCGTTGTTCTCACATTTGACAGTTTTAAAGACGATACCACCTTGTTCTCTGCAGCCACTGAACTGATTGTGATAAATATACATTCTTTTGAGCAAGCATAACAATAGCAATTGTTGGTCTCGATAAATGCCGGATTGTGCGAGCATTGATTGCCGCTGTAACCCTAAGTAGGGCACTTTGAAGCCAAAAGTTTTTCTTTGCGTTCCCTGGCGGAAGTGGATGTTGCGGCTCCACCAAGTAGGAAAACACCAGAATGTGTTATCTAAACAGCGTGTCCCACTTTAGGATGATGTTCTTTTTGTATTTCGAGTTTTGTTATATCGACCTCTAAAAAGTTTGAGCTGAATACTGCAACTGCGGCCCAATGACACTTTACTGTATGAAGCGAAAATGAAATGTTATCGGCTGGCGGTAGTTATTCTTCTGAACATTTGCATTCTCTGGCTTGAAGAAAAGTTGGGCTGCCCCTACGATTACGTCAAGGAAGCAAGTAAGCACCAATGTGCCACTGCAGCCGCTGCCTTGAGCACAGCAGCACCTGTCGGGCGCAGGGCTTTACGAATATGCGTTCTGTGGCTTCAGCGTAAACAGCACGGTGAAAAGGGTAAATTACCCCGCGCATTCGTTGCTTCCGCCCTCTTTTACACACATTGATTTTGTTTTTGCCGGTGTTTTTTACAGAATTCACATGCAACAATCCTTTGAGCATGACATTACATCTGAAGAGCAAACTTAAACGGGCTAGTTGTCAAAGCAACGTCGAAATAACCTCCAGCGTTATGACAATGTTGCAGGGCGATGTGCATTTTCTAGATGAACGGAACTTGCTGAAATAACAGTCGGTTGCCGTACATGCGGAATATGACGGGTTTCCATGCCATACTATTTCTGTAACCGTTACGTCCGTGTTGCATTTCAACGCTGACTATCCGTCTGTTTTATTTTTGTGATGGATGTCTTTTGAAATCGTCTACAACAGGACTATCAATTTGAATCTCAATCTGGAACTGGGGTGTAAGGATGATAGCTCGCTCCATATGCAGCGTGCAAGTGGTCGCTGCTCCGCATTGCAACTACCTAAAAACTTTCCTCAGTGGCTCTCCGAACGTAGGCGACACCTAACGGTCAAGCCCGGTAACCAACTCAACCAGCCGGCTACACAAAATGGGACTATCTGATGTGTGGATATGTGTGCCGTGTGCCCTAAACGGGCAAAGTGGTAGATGCGCTGGACCAAGACGGGTCTGTGGCAATTCGCGTCTCCTTGCCCTCCGCCTTTGTCACGCTGCCTTCCTGTCCGCCTCACGCTCCTTGTCGATATGCTGCTGGGACTCGCGAGTGCTCCAGGCCAATCAACGCTGTCCCCCCTCTGATTGGCTGGCGGACGTGGAGATAACGGAGCGCGCACACGCGCTGGGACACAACACCTCGAAGGAGGTCACAGACAACACCTCGAAGGAGGTCACAGTAAAACACCTCGAAGGCGGACACAGACAACACCCCGAAGGCGGACACAGACAACGGCTTGCTTGGAGCACGCTTGCGGCAACTGCCCACAGAGCCCTTGTGTACTCACTTCCTCAGGCAGTAAAAGTTGTCCAACTCAAACCGTCTTCCCTGACTTTTGATTGGGAATCTTTATCTTGTCGACCACATAACGTACGACAGGTCCATGTCGGACTCTGGCAGACGTTTTCGGAATGCACACCATGACAAATGTCAACTTTTCGGGATGAAGTTGCCGGCAGAGATCATGCTCATTGGGACCCCTGCGTCCCTGCCCATTGTTGTTGTTGGTTGAAATCATGGCCATTTACTATGCGGACCAGGGCCTGCGGAGTGGGGCGCCAAGATGCGAGCTCGACCGTGCCATCCACCCGCACCCTCCCCCGTCTCCGGTCTTCTTGACTATGTCTTGACACCGTAACCAGGTGGGGGAGGATGAGGGAGTGCAGTAGACACTGTGCAAGTTTACTATAACCTTAAAGTCACTCTGCCTGCTTCACCTAGATGTGGAGCGCACAGTGGATATCGTCGGCAACGACGCTCGAACTGTCGTCATTGTGTATGTCTCCCATTTGGCATTTCTGCTTCGTGTCGCCTTCTCTCCCAATGCTGAAAACGTCCTGCAGAGGGGACGATTTGTAAGCCCTCAAGTGAGCCGGGATAACTCGGGCCGTCTTTCCACCAAAAAAAGTCGTGACCAATCGTGAAATCCGGCGGCCACCTGGAATGTCTAAGCAGACATATTTAGGAGTGCTATTGCTTACCCCTCGCAGGTGAAGAGGCAAGAAAAGGTATCCCAAACAAATTTTGGGAAATCACGCCATCTACCAACTGATTTGTAGACGCTAAACTAGCAACCGAAACACTATATGAAACCAAGCATCCATTCTCCATCCTCCTCCCACTCTGATTGTTCTGAAAACCTGGAATGTTCATTACTTTTTAGCCAACCTCCTGAGCAATCGATCAGGGACTATGAGAACACTGATTGCTCTAGAACTAGCGAGCCACAAGCTGAACATTGGAATTTTCAGTGAGACCCGACCTTCCTAGTAGGTAGGTGCCAGCCACAAATTCTTCTGTAGCGACTGATCGAAGGCACAGCAACGTAACATCGGAGTAACCTTTGTCATTCAGAACGACATCGTTGGAAAAGTATCCTGTCTGCTACGGGGTCTCAACGACCGTCTCACGACCTTGGGTCTGCCTCTATAGGAAACCAAACTCGTCATCGTCGTCAGTTCCTACGCTGCCCCAAGGAGCAACTCTCACGAGTCCTACGAAGGGCTGCAGACCATCCTAACGACTGTACCGAAGGCAGACAAAGTAAAAAGCGAGGTAACTCCAGTGTTCGCGTAGGAACAGACTACACTGCTTGGAAGAAAGTACTGGATCCACAGGGGACTGACGTCCGCAACGAAAACGGCCTAATTCCAGTACGGGCATGCGTGGAACACAACCTCCTCCTAAGCAATACCTTCGTCCGCCTTCAGAGGCAGCTAGAGGCACCGTGGATGCGAACACGATCGCGAAGATGACAAATAGGGGACTTCGTTCTTGTCAGTATAGGAGACCGCCGGAGGATGCTGGTAACAAAGACGACTTGCAATGCCCATGTCTGGACAGCTTATCGCCTCGACATCTTGATGGCTGCGAATCCAGCCCCGCAGATGACCGCAAAGTAAGCGACGACTAGGTTGGTAAAATGCTGTTCTGATAAATGTGTTTGAACACTGCCTCGACTACAACAACCAAATGGTCCGGGGTAGCTGATGAACTGCAGGTCCCTTACGACATCGCCACTGTCGAGACATGATGGTGCCAACTGTAAAGCATCGTCCATCCCACCGCGATTGACCTTCATGGCGGCGTATGCCGCCAACATCAGGATTGGTTCAAAGACAATGACGACGAAATCTGAAATTCGCTCTCCATGAGGGACAGACTACACACAGCTTACCTCAACCGCGGATCCAACGCAAAAAGGCGGCCATCTTCGAATGTCGTCGTTGGCGCAATGGAGTTTGCAGGAGATAAAGGAGGCCTGCATAAATAGATTGCAAGGCCGAGAATATACAAGAAGATGCGGATAGCAATAAAGCGAAGAATACAAAGGGTTCGAGCACCAAAGAAAACGCACCGCAGCTCGGTTTCAACGAAACAAGACTACTTAGAGATAATTCGCAAATTATTATGCGCAGAATTGAACGCATCAGGATATTTCTCAACCGGCCATCCAGAGACTCTCAAAAATGGAACCCAACGTCAAATGCTACCGCCAACGACTGCGCTGGAGCGTCTACTTTGCGATAATGGAGGATGAGAAACTGTCCAGAGGGTTTTTTCAGCGACGTCGCAACGGGTGCTAGTCAACACGGAGGAGAGAAACGAGTAAAATGCGCACTCTGAAAAGTTCTTTAATGAATATGGAAATAAACCTGGGGCCCTAGAACGACCTCGACTTGAATCGACCGGCATGGAGACCAACCGAGAGCACTGCAATTGCAATCTACGAAACAGACCGGATCGTCACCGTTTAAGCAAAAAGAACGACTCGCAAGTCTCCCACCTAGTAGACCAACAATTCGAACGGACAACAGCCCTCATCATGTACACAGTGTAAGTCAACATTTCACGCACGGATCGGCCCTGTCAGACGTCTCAGGATCAAATGCACTACCAACGCGGCATTTCTTCTACCCTCATCCGCATTGCCACAATCCTCACAACGTCGACGACCGTGACGACTGTCGACCGAACTCCGGATGTTCTGTCGTCTAGCACTACATCCACCATCAGTACTACAAGCCCTGCACCGGCGACAGCGGCGACAACAATCATTACTACTACTACTACTACTACTACTACTACTACTACTACTACTACTACTACTACTACTACTACTACTACTACTACTACTACTACTACTACTACTACTACTACTACTACTACTACTACTACTACTACTACTATTACCACCACCACCAGAGATAAGAACACTGTCGACGCCTCGCTACCCACCACAACCTCCACCACCACCGCCACCACCACCGCCACCACCACTATCATAGCCGTCCCTTCAAACAGCAATGGGAACTCGATCCGAACCCATCCCAATTGCGACCACATCTTCATGTCACACAATGGCCTGGTCCGCCACTAGCGATTTCGCCGCACTGAGACCGGTGAACCAGTGTCTCGATTACCAACTTACACCCCTAGCACCTGCCTAAACTGTACACACACTGCCACGCACATTCAGTCACTGTATGGAGCGGCTTGACCATTTTCGTCTACACAGAAATCTGCACTGAAACACCACAGCCCAACCCCTATCACCACACATCGCCCCCTCCCCGCCCCTCCACTTTTAACTCACACACACCCAAACCGGAAACAAACCCGCCTCACATCTTTCATCACCTCCGTAGAAAATGCTGCTCGCAGGCAAGTGCAAAGCAGCTTCTGTGCTGTGCTCTAGTGGACGGCTTTATCACCGGTTAATGTGTGGTATACGCAGACGGACTATGGTAGCTCTGTCAATCACTGTGTCCCCATCCCACTACCAACTGATTCACAGACTCGTGCAGTCGATTTGTGCGCCAGAGAGGGGAGAGGGAGTGAAGCCGACTTTGAGAATTCCGTCGCCACAGGTTTTCGGCGCATTTCTCACTACAGTTAAGCTGACGCGCTTTGAAATTACCACGACACGTTAAAAGTCGTGATATGGAAGTCTGCCGCCGGACGGAGCAACTTAGACATCTTCGTGTACACCCCCTGCAAAGGACCAACGCGTTGTCCGGATCAGGACACGACACGCGTTATTCGCGTTGAGTACCCGCAACAAATGCTACATAAATGGGGTGTGGTGGCCAACCTAGCTTCAGGCTCACGACGCCCCAGTCACTCAATCTTTCCCAATCCTCGCATTAGGTAACTGACCGGTTTGGGCAGTGGAGACTGATGTCTATGAGTGGAAAGATATAGTCAAAGTCAGTATGCGAACTCCGTTCTCTCAGCACTCAGTACATGTTCCTCACTATAACCGATCTGATGCGCTTTTTAACTATTACAGTGCGCTAAAAGGCGTCTGGATATCTGCAAGCTGACGGGAGAACACGGTCCTCTCTAAGCGACGGAGAGACAGGCCGCAATGGCTCCTTCCTGATGTGGTCTATATGGTCCTCCCATATAGTTGGTATCCGAGCCGTCCCTAGTTTCCGTGAAAAGCTGGTCAATTGTGCGCTGACAAGGCGTGTTTGGCAGGTGTAGACTATGGACACATGGACGTTCGGGACGGTCGCAGTGACATTAAGCAACTTCTTAACTTTTTAACATGATTTAGGGTGATCAACGCGATCGACATGTCGTCACCTGTGCAATAATTTGCGAAGTCTGCTTATATTTTGTCTTTTATTACTAGTTTTGGGAGGGCACGTCTTCATGTGGGCAGATTTACTGAACTCCGTCCGGATGGCCTTCTATAAATTAGATAAATTACTGATTGCAGCCCACAAATGCTTTGACGACTGCGAAACTTCAATTCACTTTCATACCCTATCAACCTTTTTCCCGATAAACGATGATAAGTTTACAGCAACTTATCGAACGAACCTATAATATTTATGAGAAGTGTCGATATTACTGTGGGCCATGTTTTGATTTTGCTGCTCAGTCGTACGTAAAGGATTCACCAGTTCTGAGAGTTCACTTTATCAGCTCTCTATCTACTGAGTCGGAATACGCCACCAACAGGGTCATGGAGATTAGTAGAGTATTACAGGATGAGGTGACCACCTAGGCCCTTCCAAGTCGAATAGTAGCTGCATGTCATAGACCTTGTCATTACCTTACGGTACAAGAACTTGTATCGAAATGCTGGCTGATTGTGATTGACATTACGATCTACGCGTCTGGTCGCTTTTAAGTATGTTCTTTCGAAGGGATATGGCAGAAATTTCTTGGACCTGTCGAAAATAACTGTCTGCTCTTTGAACCATCCCGACTTATTCTGCTTTCATAAGCAGCAGTTAAATCGCGATTGCCAGGTGGCATGCCAAAATAGGCGTTCAACGAGAGAGGTTTATCAGAGGTCTGATGTTTCGAGTAGTTATTTCGTCCACCCATCATCAAAAACTAGAAAGTCATGCGCACAGCTCTAATTATATGGCGCCAGTGCCGCCTGTGCGGCTGCATCCGACCCTCATTTCACCGTGACCCATGCCGCCCCCCCCGCCTTCGTTGACCGCAGAGATAATTGGCGGCCCCGATTTTTCCGCGCCGTGACTGTCACCCGGTACGAAGATTCCTAAAGCTAGATAGGGGGAGGCAAATTAACGTGGCGGTTGATAGCACAGTCGGTGGACATCCAGGCTTCTTGTCCCTGCCCTGCTGTATGATAATCGTCTCAGCTAACGATTTCAACAGAATCAAAGTTGAAGATGTGCCTCATTTGCGCGGCATGGACTGATACCTCCGACTTTGGGTCTCACCGTCGCACAGCCAACTGGTGCTTGTGCACTCGGGTTTGCAGTCATCGGCCGGTTTCCCCAAAGTGGTCGCATATCGCGCAACTGCAGCGTAGTTGGTAGACAACGGCCGGCATCTCCTGCTTAAAGATAGGGTCTTTTGGACGTCTCACCTTTCAAAGGATTGTTGAGTCAGGACCGTGATAAACTCCTATTCCGTATGACTCGAGGGATCTAGCCACGACTTCGAAGTCTTCGGTTACGATTTTGGCCGACTATACTCCTCATTCTGCTTCCTTTATTACAGTCGGTTCCGTTCAACGAATACTCGCAGATAGCCATTAACTCTGAATATTTCTTGGAGAAGCTTTGTCACGTCGGGGTCACCACTGTCGCGAGCGGTAAGGACAGAACTGTCACTCCCAGACTATGAATATCGGGATAAGACCAGAGTTATGAAAGCATTAACATTCAAAAGTCAAACGACGTGACAGTCCAACAGATGCCGAGCACGCCACTTTGTGTTGTGTTCCTTCCATTCAGTTAAACAATTAGTAAGTTCCAGAATGAGGAACAGGTAGGGAAAGGCAGGATAGTCTGGCGCCTCGGCACAGCTTCAACTCGTCCACCTTGGCGGCTGATGTGCTGCAATGAGTCTCCACCCATCGCTATAGCGTGTATACACAATTTCGTTCGTGTTGCACTGGATTTGTCCCTCAAACGGGCCACGCGTTGGATGCGCTGGACCCAATGTGATCCTAGATCGGAGTCCGGCAGGCTCTATCGAAAATTCCCACCCATAAAAAGTGCCGGTTTTTGGTGCGTGGTGGCACGCCCATGTGCAGGCTCATGTCGCTCTATATCCTACTTGATGTGCAGAATCCTGGTTAGGGACAACATTTGGGGTGTGGTGACACGCCCAGCTATAGGCTCGCTCCGCGCCGGTTGGGATCAGAAGCGCCCCCTCCCTTCTTGCAGTGTAACCTCCTGGTCAGTGTGCGTTGCGTATCCGGGGATGTGGTGGTAGGCATATGTGCGGGTTTCGTCGTGTCAGTCACCTGCGTCCTCTCCTGCCCCTGGTCTTCTTCACTCTGTCTCAACATCGGGCCCATGTGGGGAGGAGATAGCGCGATGGATGCAACAAAAGTGTACTATCACTGCCGATACAAGCGAAGATGCGAGTTCCAGGAACTAGTTGATCAGAAGAAGAAGCGATCGCTGGAGCAAGGGCTTTATTCGCCTGAAGTTTCGGATTCTCACTTGAATCCATCATCAGGGACAGTGACAGAAAAGGGTCCACTGTCTCTGATGGTGGATTCAAGCGAGAATCCGAAACGTCAGGCGAATAAAGCCCTTGCTCCAGCGATCGCTTCTTCTTCTGCACTATCACTATAATCTATATCATGCGCAAGTCACCGTCCCTGCTCCTGTCCTGACCTCCTCGGATTGGACGGTCAAACTGTCGGTCGTTGTTGTAACTGAGAATTTGCAAGGTGTTCGTTGGGTTTCTGTGGACTGAAGTCCCCACTTTTCCATCCGGCTGGTGGCAGACGAGAGCATCCAAGAATGGAAGTCTGTCCTACACTTCTTGCCTGAACTACAGGTCGAGAATGATCGAGTTTATTATTTCCCCATGATAATTAATTTTAGCTCTATCGATGATTACGAATGTGTAGCGCGCTCAAAACCTGGATCTGCACTACTCAAGCAGTTGCCTCTTGAGTTTTCGCAGAACCGTCTAGGCGATGAACCCGAATATTTATGAACCCATCAGAGTGCACTTAATCTGCTCATTTATGATTCTCTTGAAGGTAAAGAATGTCTTGTGGCGACCCCACAAGAGTTCTATGAGATTCTAACCTGTGGGCCGGTCATCGTCCTCATCGCGATTTTGATGTAACAGGTCACTGGGCGTTTTCGCAGTAAAGGTCTCTGGTATGGAAATGGAGAGTGAGATAACATCAAATGACACCATCCTCACATTCGGTTCAATTGTGGCCGCTTTTATTTTGCTAAGAAATTGTTCTGCTGTGTGCACTATTGTTTGTGAGCTCTCAGTTAGAAAACTCAGCCTCCGGTATAGACAGTTTGCAAGCCCGTATGTTGGTATGCCTCGGAGTGAGACATTTGGTCAGAAGGAAACATCGGATTGTGTACTTTTGGGAGACCGTAGAATTTTGTCATATACCAGTCATTAGTGATAATTACCTTGTTCTTCTCTATTCGAGCTAGATTTCCGCTTAGCTTCGCCAGTAGTGACTTTACACTGGCGGCGTTGCTGATTTTGTAGGCCTCCCGATCGTTGAGGAGCATGGGGAATTTGCTTCAGTAGTTTCCTTGTTGAGGATAACGGTTAACTGGTCCTTGTCAGCAGGCAGAATAACTATTTCGGTGTCGGTTTTTAACTCCATCAGAGCCTTTTGCTCCTCCCTCAGCAGAAGGTTTTTGGCGCGACATGAGCAGTGAAGGCACATGACGGTGAAATAGGTCCTCTGCCTTGTCTGTGACTTCGTTTGGCGTAGCACCTATTCGAAAGAAGCAATAAAGGTAGTCGGATCAGCGTCAGTTGTGTTAAAACCAGATCAACGTTGTAGAATTGTGTTAGAACCTCGATAAGACCTTTATACTGGAGGTTGTGTACTAACCTTTGTTCAGTCTTCTGAGATCTTGAGATCTGCAGTGCCATTAACTTTACCGATAAGTCTGCATCCCCGTTAGCATGCTTCTGTTTTCCCAATGACATTAGGGTGTTCTCCAAGGTGATAGCAGTCGATCTATCATAGCGGCGTGTAGCAAGCCTCTTGGATTTCGCAACACCATGCGTATTTCCCTAGCCGAAGGTGACAGTCTTATATGAGCACCCTTGTCATTCGCCGACTATGACGAACCGTCGTTTGTTTTTCTAACTCCGTGTTGAAAGGGGGCTAGTAGCGGGGGCATTTTAGTATAACATAGTTGGCAGGCATCTGTAAAGGAAATGGAGCTGTGCATGGGTCACGGCCTGTCGGAGGACAGGTTTCTCGCAACAATGACCCATTTGAAGCGCCTGGCGCGTAATCCGCACCAATAGTGGTAAAAGTGTAATTAGCTGGTGGCATGATAAAATATGAAGAGGAGTTCAACGGGGAGTCTGATGTTTCGAGTAATTCAGCTCACTGCAGTCTATCCGAGAAGAAGTAGGTGTATACCTTTGAAATCCCCATTTGCTACACGTAGAGGAAGTATGCGGAAAAGTGGAAATGAAGCAACATGAAAGAAACACAAGGAGAATATCAAAACCTGTACAGATGAACACAGTATTTTATGCGTTTTCAGTATTAGAAGATACATGAATTCTAGGCAGAATGGTATTGCCGACAAAAACAAGGGAGACTGGAATGGCCATTTCTGGCTTATTAGCCGTCGTCAGTCAGCCATACCCAAGCCCGAAGTGTGGAACACCCGAGCCTCGAACTCGCGACCTGTTGGTTAGGAGTCCACGCCTCTACTCACTGGGCCACGAGCCCGTTGCCCTGTCGGTTTACGATCGGGAATATACAACGGTAGGGGGCGCTCACCGATCGTTCATACGGAACTCACTCGTTCCGCTATGCCTTAAGGGCTCTCTCTCGAGCCAGAAATGGCCATTCCAGTCTCCCTTGCCTTTGTCGGTAATACCATTCTGCCTATATATCATGCGCCCCTGTGCGGCTGCTGGTTGGGCTCGAGAGAGAGCCCTTAAGGCACAACGGAACGAGTGAGTTCCGTATGAACGATCGGTGATCGCCCCCTACCATTATACATGAATTCTGTTTGGGGTTCAATACAGTAGATATCTGAAGCACACCTAGGCTACAGGAAAATTAATAAGATTTGTAGTCTATAAGCATCATGATAAATGCGAGTCGAGGTGTGCGCCATGGTTCACTAAATTAATAAAATAAATTGTTAACGTTGGCTATCAAGACGGTTGCGGTCGTGTGGCATTGTGGTGCGCACCCCAATGTTTATCCAACCTCCTTTTAAAAGTTTCTACAGATCCAGACAAAACAACGTCCTCAGACAAAGCATTCCAAGCTGCAAGCACTCTGTTGGCGAAGAATCACCTCCGTGTGTCTAGCCGGGCACCAGTCACACGTATTTGGAGTGGATGGCCTCCCAAGTTAGCCATAGTCGCCAACTCGAAGAAGTCTCCCGATACCAGACAGCAGTCCTGATTGCGCAAGATGCGAAAATCTTGTATAAGATCACCACGTAGCTGTCTGTAACTCCAAGGAAAGGGGTCAATATTAGCTAATCGCGCTTCGTAGGGTAGTGGCCGCTGTCCAGTTACAAGTTTCGTTTCACGCCGTTGAACTTTTTGGAGTATGTTAAGGTCTTTAGCAACCCAGGGCCTCCATGCCTGGATAGCAAACTCCAGATGCAGTCACACAAAAGTTTGAAAGACCTTGACGAAGCCAACTTTATAAAAGTAAGAAAATGCCCGTTTGACGAGGTATAGGATGGACATCGCGAACTTGGGTACCTTTGAGCAGTGCAGGGAAGGCTTGAGCGAGGTTGTGATCCACACACTCAGGTCCTTCTGAACGTTGATTTCTTGTAATTATTTTTCAGTCGGGCGGCAGACTATGCGGTTAGGAGAACTGCTTCCGCCGACCCGTAGGAATTTACACTTGTTTGCGGTAAACGGTAAAAGCCAGTCGTTTGACTATTACTCGAGGCGGTCTAGGTTTGTCTGCAATCGCGCCTCGTCAATTTCATTTCTTATGGTACTCCAGGCAGTTATATCACCAGCAAACATTACGATATCGCCATTCACTTCGTTTGCACAGTCATTGACGTATATAATGAACAGCGTAGAGTCAAGAACGGAGCCTTGGGAAACACTACGCTTAGCGGCAACCTCCGCAGACTGCTAGTCACCGACGTGGACAGCTTAAGAGCCGCCGAGTAAAAAGTTTCGAATCCACATCAGAAGATTGCATCGCATGCCTATACGGTTGAGTTTGTACAGAAGGCGATGGTGAGGCACACTATCGAAGGCCTTCTTGAGGTCGATATAGACCGCATGTACCATATCCCCTCTATCAACAGCCCGAGTCCAGTGTTCCAGACGGTAGAGCAAGTTTGTCACACAGAACCTGTCTTTGCGGAATCCATGCCGAAAATCGGAAAGAAGATGCCTTTATTCAGGGAACTACATTAACTGTTGCTTAGTTATTGTCTCTATAATCTTGCAGCAAATGGGGGTAAGGCTGATCGGTCTGTACTTGTTTGCAAATACCCAACTTCCGCCCTCATACGGCGACGTAATCCACGCTGACTTCCAGTCGGCCAGCAGACATCCGGCCTCGAAGGATGTATGGAAAAGCTTAGCGAGTGGATTAGCCAACTCACTGGTGAGTTTCTTCAAAATCTTCGTCGGAATCTCATCGGGGCCTGGTGATATTGATTCCTTTAGCTTCATCAGCCCCAACAGAACCATGCCGCGGTGAACTGAGTGGTCTTAATAACTGTGACCTTGTGGCGGTCAAGGATGTGAGATCAACTTAAACCACGCACAGTAAGTTCGTTTCGTCTAAAGACAGAAGTCAGGGAGCTGTGAGGACTAGTTTATTCTGTACACAGGGCAGATTACCGTAAGTTGACTGTTTGCTTGCAACAGAGATAAGCGTCCGTTCGCGGAGAGCGTCAGTCGCGGTGTGTCGTTTACGCGGGGGTGAAAGTCTGTGTCAGTAGGTGGGGGTGACTGGTTGTGTGCTGGACATGAGATTGGACGGATTAGGGGAGGATTAGGGGGAAGCATAACTTCAGGGGCTGACGGGTATCAAGCCAGGTCGTCCGACACGCATGAGGTGATAATACTTTCTGGGGACAGCCGGGAGTCACTGCAGCTGGACAGGAGGGGCCCCAGTTCTAGCCGGCGGGGGTGGTCGTGTGTCAGCGGCCTGGCAACGGAGCCGGAGAAAAGGGGGACTGGAGCGGCTGCTGCAAGCCTGGAAAAACATCAAATCAAACTATTCGCTACGGCAAGGTTTTACAAAAAACCCAGCTTTTTATTTATTTCCTTCAGTAGCAAAACCAGAGAAGTGCAGTGACAAATTTCAACATAAACGGATCAATAAAATGCCCACCTGAATTATAAAACGAAATAATTCAATTGCCAGGGAATTTGAACTATACTTTGGAAGAGAGATGTATGGAAAAGACAGAATGTTGTGTTTAAGCAGCCTGGTAATTATGCTTACACGTATAAACGTCTCGTATAAGTGCTTTTGCCGAAACATTTCGTTATGCCTGACGACCTTGAATGTTTTGCATCCCAAAATTCGGAAGCACATCAAGTATGCCGCCAGAGATGCAAATATGCTTTCCACTGGCCCTTACCTATTCCTGATCAAATTGGGTCAGTACGTAAAATGTATATATACTGTCGAAAGATCACTACTTGTGTACGTATGGGGTAAGCATACCTAAAAGCATGCATTCTTAGTGCACTCTAGGTGAAACTGTTTACTATCTAGCGTCCCAGCGGCCACTTAATACTTATGCTCAAAATATTACGTTGTTCCGAAAATACTGGCCAGTCTGGAAAACAGACATTTTCTCTCAAAAGACTTAACCCTACATATGCCGCAATTACTTAACCAATGATTTCTTATATCTAATCATCTTTGTCATCGACGAACAAGATCATATACGCCGCGTCAGTAAAAATTCACTGGGACTGATGCTAAGAAATCATGGAAACCAGATTCCACACTAGTCTTGTTCTTGAAAGTTTTTGGCCGAGAAATATGTCTAGATGCTTGAAAAATGGCAGTCAGTAGGTGAAAGATCGGGAGAATATGGGGAATGAGGTGAAGTTCTGAATTCAAAGTAATTGATTTTCTGAAGAGTCCTCTTGTTGAAGTGTGGGCGTGCGATTTTAAGGAGCAGATTTGGGTCACGCCGATTCACTGGTGTAGGTTTCATTTCTCATAAGTGGTCGTGAATTTCTTTGAATTGCCTACAGTAAACCTATGTTGCAATGCTCTTTTTGGCCTCATAAAAGCTGTGATGGACAACGCCGAGACCAGACTTTAAGACAGTCACCATAACCTTCTGCCGAAGCAACTTAGGTTTCAGGAAAGGAGTTGGATGCTCCTCCATAATCACGCCATTACCTCGATCGTTTACAATTATTGCGAAGAAACGACTTTTTGTCACACGTCACTGTGAGATCAGAAAAAAAGATCACTAATGTTTCACAAAAAAGCGTCAGACTTCAAAAATTCTGAGTCTTAGATTTTCAAATAATTCATGAAGGACTTATTTTTCGGGGGTCTTCACCTTGCGGATTTGCATTATGTGACCGGATACCGTTGAAATACTGACACCAAGTGTTTCAGCCATTTCTCTAGCACTTTGACGCGGGATTTCTTCAACAGTTGATTTCCTTAAGGCTTTCATTACATGACTAAGTTTCTAAAAACACTTTCGTACTGTGCAATCACTTATGTACCCTTCCTTCTGTGTCCTATTGATATCGACAGTTGTTTCAGAAAGGCAATAATCGGGTTCGAACCCTAACGAGAAAGGTAAACGCATTTTTTCTTTTTTCTTCTTCACTATAAAGGGCTTATATTTTTCAAAAGCGCACTCCTAGAGAACTTCTAAAGGAATTATTGAAGAGTGCATATTAAAACTTTAGCCTGTAAAATTTGGCTCGAAATTGTTGAGGAGCCGAGATGGACAAATATTTTCCAAGCAAACTAACATTCGTCTTATCCATATGCTGTGGTCGTGTGTCCGCAGCCTGGCAAAGATTGACGCGGCCATCGACCGACAAAACGGAGCCGGAGAAAAGGGGGACTGGAGCGGCTGCTACAACCTCTTCGAAGTCCAGTTTCCCTACTAAAACAGACCGAAAATTTCTGATATATGATCAGCTTTCACTTTATCTTCAGGGAGATTTTCACCTTCAGCAGTCCTTAGCAGTGGAATTGGGTCTTTGTTCCGCGTGCACTGCCTTATGTAACCGTAGAATAATTTAGGGTTCTCCGAGGCACGGTTAAGCAGATCCCGTTCGAATCCCTTCTAGTTTTGACGATAAGTCCCTTGACTCGATTTCCTTGAACTTTGTACTCACATATGGACATGGGGCTCCTGTCAGAAAGGGATTTTTTCCACAACCTTCGTTTTTTATTCATTTCATTCTTCAAGGCCTGTGTAAGCCGTCGAGGTCTGTTTGTTAACCTATTTAGTGGAAGTGGACAGCGGTTTGCTATGAACCTGTGAAGTACTTCTCGGAACCGTTGCCAGTCTTCGAACACGTCTCCACCAAATACGGGCTTCCACTCAACGCGTACAATTTAAGCCCTCATTTGGTCCGAATCCCTACGCCAAATGTTTCTTATAACATTCATGGGTTTCTCGGTCATAGAAAAGGGCGAGAAATTCCATAGTAGAACGACGTGGACACTTAACCTAGGGAAGGGATTGGCATGACACCTCATCAATGCCGTCCTGTGATTTCGTCAAGACAAGGTCAATGCAGTTGGCCCTTCAGCCCTCGCATACTCTAATTGGAAACGTGACGTGTTGAGTTAGAAATAACTTCAGTGTCGCTCATAAAACTCCCATCGAATGTCTGTTCTGAGCTATTTGCGTGGGCCAAGCTACAGTCAATTTGAAGCACATTTAGGTCACTCATGGTCAGGATATCCGGCCGTGTAGCAAACTTTTCGAGCTCCTCCAACGTTGGCGATGTGATCGCGTCTTGGCGGTCGATAGGCTGTCAAGACATAGAGCGTCGGTGTGCTCGGCACATTAATAGGTAGCCAGATTGCCTCGGAAGTACACTAAAATTTATCGGTTTTGTCTGATACATTTACTGCATGTTTCAAGTGCGTGAGTACTCCTCCCTGATGCCCTTTACTGTCCTTTATTAACAGCTGGTAGACAGACTGGGTTAACACGCGGTCGTCCATGTGTTGGGTCAACCAGGTTTCTATTAAAGCAGTTACGCCAGGGGATGGATCACAGAGGTGGATCTTCGGCCCATCGGATTTTGATAGCAAACCCTGAATGTTAGTGTGCATAAGTTTTGATTTCCGGTTGACGAAAGATATGGTTATTCGAACTCAGGTGCCGCCGCGGGATGACCAACGAGTTCACCAATAGACTACCGGTGGTTATAATATGGTTGGCGCCTGCACTTAATATGTCAGCTGCCCGGTCGTTCGAGCCGCACCTGTTCCAAGGATGAATGACGAACGCCGCTGTACTTGGTTGTTGGATATAAGTAATTGGCCCTCCCCTTCGCTGAGACTTTTTCTTTGTTTCAGAACTATTCGACAACGTTGCAGCCGTTCCGCTGGCGAGTGACCCGGTTAATAAAGATGACTGGGTCATTTTGACCCAACTGTGAAAACCTCGGTGGTTCTGTGGGATTCGAACCCACGACAGCAAGTGAATTATTTGAAATCTACAAAAACATCTCGGAATTACATGAGCCTGGTAGTCATCTGGTGGATTCTAAATGCATTACTTTGAAAATCCTGCTGGGGCAGCCAGCTTACTGTATCAGATTTGGTGGATCCCAGACGTTGCAGTAGGTTTGGCGGGTAAACTTGACCAAATGTGATTAAATTCGTGTCGTCCGGTTGGACCTCGTAGCTCAGATGGTAAGAACGTCGGCTGTACTAAAGCCTTCCCTTGCTGTCGTGAGTTCGAGTCCCACCGAAGCACCGAGCGTTTCACAGTTTGGTCAAGGTGAATTATTTGAAATCTGCCAAAACACCTCTGAAAAACGACTGAGTTTGGCATTTAGTCCTAAATCGTCTGGAAAGAATGAAACTGGCTTGGTCACTGCTGGTCAGCACAATTCTAAGCAGATTTGATTACTGCAGTTGCCTCAGTGGATTCCAAAATATGATTGAGGAAACCTTGGAAGATTGATAGGTCTTCCGGAACCCGCTCCATGGGGGTATTTTTACCTGGTTCAGGGAGCCCCTGCATAATGAGACATTTTTCTCTGTTGACTTCTATTTTATTTTTTACGAAGGTGTCGTTCCCTAACTGGCGTAACACTCTGGCACTATGCGCTGGTGATGGTGGAGCAGCTGAGCTTACGCTGTATGTTAGCTTGACTCTAGTTTTGACAAACATGGAAGAAGCGTTTGACAGAGAAGACTGTGAACAGTAGTCTGTGGCTCTGATGGATGACTCGATGCCGTCGCTTGTACTAGATCTCTAACTTTTTCTGAGAGTCATCAAAGGTGCTTGGACACACGAAATTTACCATGATGGACGGAACGCTCGTCGATGCCTCTGTTTCAGCATCTTCAGAGGCATCTTTCGGAAGTAGCCACTCGTTTTTCTTGGCCTTTTTAAGGTTCGATTTCTTTTTCTCCTGAGCTTTTTGGTTTCCTTCCTGTCTCGCTTTTTAACCATTCGTTCTGGAGCTGCCATAATAGGTGCTGGCGGGCCTTTTATGCGGCGTACTTTTGCCGTACTTCTGGTTACTCGTCCAGTAGGCAAATTTGTATCATAAGCTTTGTCTAGACAGCATTACAATTAAGCTTTCATCCCTGTAATGTCTTCCTCAGTATAGTTGACCTTGGCAGCCAGAATCTGACATTCACTACAGTTTTGGCCTGCATTTGGTGCGTCTATACAGTCAAGGAGACTTTGTGACGACAGTACGCACTTCAATTATGCCGTGAATTCATGGAAAAGTAGCAAGCTGCGGGAACAGAAGAAAAAACTTTGTCTAGGACCAAATACAGGGGGGACTGTGCGCATGGTTGGCAGTGTCGGAATGTTTCGAGAATGCAGGGCCTTAAGAACGTTCTAACTAAGACTTTTTCGGTAAAATGCCAAATGTCCAAATCCAAGCAGCTCAACAAGCAGTGTAGGAATGATCGACTCAGCCTCTAGAAGGTCCTTTTCTAAAGTTACGACGGGCAGCTCGAGACGATATGTAGGATTGCTAGACTGTGTTGACTAGGCCCAGTTTTCCAGCAGAATGATCGAGTTTGCAGAAAATTGTCCTAGTCGTACGATGAGGGCAACGATTGACTGCTAGACGAAGGGTAGTAGGTAATAATGCGTTTTATAATCCAAATTTTGATGGAGGACTAACCGTTTCCAGTGAGGGAATCTATTAAAATTATACTTCTTGGTACTTAAAATTCAAACCGCGGACGATAGGCATTCGTTAATTCCATCCTCAGAAATCAGGACGTCATGCGCACAGGTCTCATTGTATAGCTCACTGTACTTGATGCGCGTGAATTTCTAATCTCTGAAAATGGGTAGGGGAAATAACCCCTCGTGACATCAGAGCACCCCTCCCCCCAAAAACCTCTCCCAGTGAACGTCTCTTTTCGTTTTGTTATACTGTTTTTCCAGTGCCTAGGTGGTCGTTACCTTTGCTTCCAGATATTCGAAAGGGTTTCGAATGGGATAAGTGTACGCACATAGGTCTTATGTAGTACACTTTTCCCTGTTACATTGCAGGCCTGAAAGGGAAGAAGATAACTAACCGGAAATGAGGATGTTGTATAGCTTAGCTGCATGATGAACGACCGAACGCCATTGCGAAAAGTTTGCAGAATGAAACAAAGAATATTTCGTGAAATACAGAGCATGCTCGAAGAAATGTAATCTTTGTACATCTTTCAAGAATTTGGTTTTGAAAAAGTACGGAATTATGGGAATTTGTTGGGAGATAACCAGAAATGAGCTTTAAGTCAAGGTATAAGAGAAAGGGAAGATAAAATTTCGCCAAAAACGTAAGCCGGAAAGTTGTTTGCCAACTTTTTGGAAGAAGGGTGACCAGCGTGAGATACTTTTAAATTCGAAAGTGCTTTGAACTTGGATTGCAATTCTACCGTACCCCCCCCCCCCCCAGTGGATAGTTGTCGAGTTCTTCTGGAATGAAGTATAATCACCCAACATGGGCATTCTTCATATCACTTTTATTTATTACATCAAGTTAATGCCTGACCCCAAACACAGTGGGCGCTTCCGGCAGAGCCAATTAACCTTCGGCTAATTTAGCTTGCTCTACCCGATTCTCAACTTAAGAGTTGACACGTGAGACTGCCATCTGAAAAGTGGAGTAGCTTGTATTTTGAAGTTTTTTTCCGGTTTCGTGACCTGCCAATGAAGTGCATCTCTTCCCTGTTGAATTTACGTGCTTGTCAATAAACCGTGCTATTCAACTCTAGAAAACAGAAGTCGAGATGGAAGATCACGTGACAGCAAGAACAAAATAAACTATAACGAAAAGGTTAATAATTTTAACTTTAAATTGACAGCTCATTGCCGGCAATGCGTCACGGATTCCCTCGTCCCTCCCGTCTTGCACTGTCAAAATGAAGCAAACATTAGAATCCGACCCAATTTTCTTGAGTAACGTGAATTTGTAATTTTTGCCTTTGTCATTCTTCGCGGGGAAAATAAATGTACATCTCACAACACCAAAGTTTAACGGCCAATATTAGAGTTTTAATCAAATAGCAATAGCTGGACCTGCATCCTAATAGGTTTTTTCGCCGCTCTCCCTTTCATTGTTTCGGAATCAAGGGTCTCTTCAGCCTGTTTCCGCCGTTAATCCCGCATGAACGAGCACATACCTTTTAAGTAAAATTTCTGTCTCACGGACAAAGGTATAGTCTTTCCTCAACACTCAACAATGTAAACAAGACATGACATGATTATCCTATTAATTACTGGTTGTCTATACAGTAGGTGGAAATATCAAAGCCCGTTTTGAGCTGCCTTTTCCAGGTATGGTATATGAAAGCTAAATACAATGTTCTACTTTCTCATTTTTTAATTCTTCTTCTGTACCAGATCATACTCAAACCACGCTTTTATGATTCTAATAAATAGATCATAACTACTTCACCCAACCAGGCTCTGTGGGGCACCTAAGGACCTTCACCTGTCATTCGCAATGTCGAATCTTCGAATGGAGGGATGGAGATGGAACACGATGTCAAATTTGGCGAAATCCTACAAATCTCAAAAGGTAAAGTTTACCAGAAACCACAAGAGGTATGCTAGGGGGAGAGAGGGATGACGAACAAGCTGAGCTCCGCGTAGCCGTGTAGTGCTGCCGGACAAAAACGTACAACACGTTTCTGAACTTATAGTCAGTAACCGAGTTGGAGGTATGTCGGAACAGATTCCTATTCAAACTACATTTTATCGATATTTTGGCGGATGCGGTTTACCGGCTGAAGCTCAAATCAGTCAGATCGAAAATTTGCACAAATTTTTGGGGTAGGACTTGACAACCCCGGTTACAAAGATGCCACGCCAATTTAAAAGGCAAAACATGGTTCACGTAATTTGAAGAGACCGCACCTTTCTCTATCATACTTGCCCACAGAGCACTGCGACGGCCATGTACGCAACAAAGCAGCTCTCACCTTCCAATCTGCTGGTCACAAAGATGCTTTCTGAGGTACCTGCAAATCTTACTGACTTATACGAAGTTTGAGGACTCGGTGACGTCCTAGGATAAAGGCAGTCCGACTTTCCTTTCTTTCGAACAGCTGCCACGGCAAGCTGCTAGCTTATCGAGAGCTGTCTGCTGCGCTAGCCAATAGACTTTGACTTTGTGCAGCGTGCTTATTGGTTGGGTACGTCGGCCTAGGAGGCGTAACTTCGTCACAGCCTAACCCTTAAAAAACTTCAGGCGTAACGAAATTTGGTGGATCAGTCAGTTACCAGGCTGAAAAAGCGGCTTTCCCGACCATGTATAGGAATGTGGAAGTCCGACTGACGATATGAACTGTTGTAAATGAACCATTCGGTCACAGCAAAACTTTGACTTGCTGCTGCTATTTGAAGTTTAGCCAAAATTAGATCTCAGTGACTGGGTCACACTGTCAGATCCACTGACCAATCGAAACTCGACCAATATTTGCGAGAGTTAGAATTTCCTGGAGCGCCATATAAACCGATGGAACTCTTTATCGGCCACAAACGTAGCATATTGGGGAGTCTTGGGTCTTCAAAATACAAAAAACCAGGAGTAGGGTGAATGTATATACTCTGCATTACTGAGACTTTAGGGTTACAAAAGCATGAACGTTTTCTTCCGGAGAGTCTTTATTTGGCAACTGTGTGCCTTGAAGGTATTTTACCTAAAATCTTACGACGATAATATTCTTGCCATGTGCGCATATCAACTCGGTAGCGAAAGACGGTGGTAAAAGGGAGGTGTGCGCCAATGCAAGTGACTTGCATAAAAAAGTTAACAGCATGGAAAAAATAGAATTCCTTAGCTTAGAATTCCAAGGCTTTCAGCACGTTGGAAATGATCGCCAAATTCACGAAACACTTAATAAGGTGTCTGGTCAAAATTTTCAACTAGGCAAATAATAAAATGCCGCCTTCTGTTTTCTACCCACGCATGAACAAATACTGAAATAAATGCGCCGGAGAGTTCGACCTCGATTAACGAAAATGTCCACTTTGTGCTCCACAGTTCGATGGGTGTCGGGCGGAAACTTGTGCATAAAGTACTTCATGGTGACAACAAGCTAAACAGTCTGTCTACGCGTGCCGCGCACGAGATGGACATCGATTAATGCAGCAGGATCTGGCAAAAGGGCACTTCGAATCCCATCCGAGTGGGCATGTCATATAAGCTAAATTAAGGACAAGCTATTGCAGCTTGACCCGGCTTCCGCCATTCAGTTATTCCTTACACACACGGGTCACAAGGGACAAGATGTCCCGTCAGACGGCAGACTTCCATATCACGACTTTTAACGTGTCGTGGCAATTTCAAAGCGCGTCAGTTTTACTGTAGTGAGGAATGTGCCGAAGTCCTGTGGCGACGGAATTCCCAAAGTCGACTTAACTCCCTCTCCCCTCTCTAGCGCACAAATCGACTGCACGAGCCTGACAATCAGTTGGTAACGGGATGGGGACACAGTGATTGACAGAGCTACCATTGTCCGTCTGCGTGTGCCACACACTAACGGCTGATCAAATCGTGCACTGGGGCACAGCACGGAAGCCGCTTTCGACTTGCCTGAGAAATGCATTTTCTACGGAGGTGATAAAAGATGTGAGGCGGGTTTTTTACGGTTTGGGGGTGTGTGAGTTCAAAGGGGAGGCGGGAGGGTGCGATGTGCGATGATAGGGGTTGGACTGTGGTGTTTCAACGCCAATTTCTATGCAGGCGAATATGGCCAAGCCGTCCCCATACAGTGACCGAATGTGCGTGGCAGTGTGTACAGTTGAGGCAGGTGCTAGGGGTGTAAGTTGGTACTCGAGACACTGGTTCGCCGGTCTCAGTGCGACGAATTCGCAAATGACGGACCAGGCCAATGTGTGATACGAATGTGCGGTCGCAACTGGGACAGGTTGGGATCGAGTTTCCATTGCTGTTTTGAGGGACGGCTATGATGGTGGTGGTGGTGGTGGTGGTGGTGGTGGTGGTGGTGGTGGTGGTGGTGGTGGTGGTGGTCATTGTCATCGCCGCCGCCGGTGCAGAGCTTGTAGTATTTGCGGTGGAACTTGTGCTAAACGACGGAGCATCGGAAGTTTGGTCGACAGTCGTGGTGTTCCTCGACGTTATGAGGGTTGTACTAATGGGGATGAGGGTAGAGGTGCTTTCTGAGACGGGGAGAGAAGAGGCCACGTTGGTAGTGCGTTTGATCCTGAAATGTTTGACGGGACCGATCCGTGCCTGAAAGGTTTGTTGACATTACGTACATGATGGGAGATGTTGGCCGTTCGAATTGTTGATCTACGCGGGGGAGAATTGCGAGTAGCTCTTTTTGCTTAAGCACTGGCGATCCAGTCTTTTTCGCTGATTGCAACTGCAGTCTTTATGGCTGTTCTCCATGCCGGCCGATTCGAGGCGAGGTCCTCCCTTGTCTCTGGCTTGACTTGTATATACTTTAAGTTTTTTTCTGTGTGTACTTTTAAACTGTTTCTGTCCATATTGCCAGCAAAGTTTTCCAGGCATGGGGGAGAACGATTATCGCAGTCACTGCATCCACTTGTGTCGGTATTATGTTATGCGATTGATAGCCATTCCTTACGGGAACTGGGAAGAGTATTATGTTTGTGAACGCGAATAGGTGAATTAACTGAACCTGATTTTTTGTCCATCGTATGTACAGATGGTCACCAGTATCCTAATGATGACGCATGCGAATTTGTCTATAGTAGGGCAGAATCGCACGGCATCTGCTACCTACTCTTTTTTTCTATTACAATCACATTTCAGTGATATGACACAGTCAACGTGAATCGAGATCGACACGTTCACAAAGCTCAAAAGGAATGTTACGTGTACCACGAAGTTGGCAGTCTCTAAATCCGCATAATTCAGTCTTCGCCGAAAGGATCTTGAATTTTTGGGATGTTTTACATTTTTATAAAGGTAAGACTAGGAAGCCACGGTATTCTGACCCGCCGTCCAATGTAGAACCGAATCGTTGCTTGGAAACTTCCCGAGTCATGGCTGTTAATCTTATTATAGGGAGGAATGTGTTGGACTATCCTGAGTCGAATACCCTGGTATCAGCTTCGCTCTCCGTTTCCGCCTGCCACCAGACTGAAAAATAAGTTGGACGTGGCCTGGGCCGCGCTCTCAGCGTAATACACGCATTTACAACAATTGTTAAGAACGCTAAAAGACGCAGAACAGCCCAGTAAACATCTGCCACGGATTTGCTGTGACCGTACTCCAATTCCTGAGAGCTAAGGCTGACCAATACCATTGCACAGTAACTTTACTTGCTTTGGAGTTCAAAATACACAGAACAGTCCTGACAGCAATGCAAACCTCCCGTAATCTCAGACGCGCTGACTCCTGGTCACTCAATCGACTTAAAGTCGGACACATACGTCCTGACCGTCGCAGCTGTCCATGCGCCATTTTAACGAGCCACTACTCACGACAGCCCGACCGCCCTGACCGACGATGTCCAGCGTGTGTTTCAGAGCAGTGAGAGCAGAAAAGGTGATTTACGCGGTAGCAGACTTTCGTTGCATTTACCGCACTCTCTCCTCTCCCATCCGGGCCCGTCATCCTTAGAAAGTCAAGAAGAACGGAGGCGGAAGAGGGCGCAGATGGCTGGTATGACGAAAGCCCGCGCTCCCTAAGCCGCAACGCACATTGATCGGGATTTTATTCAAAAAAGAGATGAGTCGGATCCCATTTGGTGCGGCATGAGTCTGCAATGGACGTGCCGCCTCACCCCAAGTGTTGGCATTTGTCGTGGCCCCGCATTCCCGATTACGTCTACCGGACCCCAATCTTTGTGCTGGTTCAGCGCATCTACCGCGTGGCCCGTTTTAGGGGCAAATTCATGCAACACAGGCCATTAAACACATCGCCCCTCAGGTAGTGAGACACACACCGACTGGACACTACTTGAACTTGCTCCACAAACCTATTAAAGCTGCTCTCACCACTGTCTCATCTATCTCTCAAGCGTGACTGGACAAAGTCCACACCAGTCCGGGCCTCGCCAGTTGAAACTGTCGCCCGAGGCCGTAACTGGACATTCTGCGCATTACAAATTCCTCCTTTTTGTACCTTTTGTCTTCTGCTAATCAGGACTTGGCCTGATGATCGTATTTCTCTGAGCACACTCACTGCTCAGATGTCGCAGCCCAATGCGGCCTCCGTTTTGGTCTCGGCTCATTTTACGAACCTGGTCACACCCAAAATCTGGAGTAAATTGACGTTTAATCGGCCATTTTGACTTGCATGATTATTCTAGCAGGTATCTATCCCGCCCTCAGATGTAAATGGCTTCAGGTTCCAGTCTCTGGACTCCTTATCCTGGATTGACTAAGTGCACATGGGCAAAGTTTTCGCTCATTTTGGAGAAGACTAGCAAATGAAAAATCCCTGTTTAGATGTAATCCATCTGGGTGCGTAGGCTAATATTTATCTAATGACAATCGTATGTTCCTAGTCGGTCCAATTTAAAATGTGACTGTTATAATCCCAAAGAGTGGTATTAAAAGGCCCTGTGAGAGCAACAGAATCCACCAAACTTAACTAACCACCTGGAAGGGACGTAACACCTAAGGATGGCGTGGCCCCATTGAGCTCTACACTCCTGTTTACTGCAAAACGCCTACGGTCACATTTATATATTTTCGTTGGCAAGTGGAAAGGGTAATGATCGAAAGTGTAATCCCACGTTTTCATTATTATAACACACACACTTATTTGACTAAGACAGGTACGTTACGCAAGGGTTTATTCGTGGTAGGACGTTAAGGGTTTGGATAAGGACTTAGAGATGACGTTCAGGTTTCGCAATTAGGGATGGGTTAATGGCTCAGGCTGAGTTTGGGTCTAAGGATAGAGTAGGGTTGGAGACTACGCTTGGACAAAGGGTTAGAAATGAGCTAAGGCTTAAGGCTAAGATTGCGTGCCCGTGCCGTCCCGCCGAATCTGGCCTTCTTAACACCAGTAACCTTGGATTACCTGTTTGCCGTTCGTTTACGCGCCCTCAGTTTGCATATTCCAAACTGCGCGACCCCTTCCGGCATTTCGTTGGAGTATTAAAACAAACATATGGAAGAAGTGCGAGTTACCTCAGCGCCATTCGTAGACTCCGTTATTTGTCCCGGCAATCTGCCATACCGGCAAAACTAATACTAGTCTCCTTCCCCTATTGCAGGAGTCCCTGTACTCTTTTTTCTCAGTGGGCCTAAGTATTCAGTCCTTGCCGTAGGAAGTTGCCACCACAATCAAAATTGCTGTTAAAAACTTCCTTTTTTAAGACTCTGACAACAATGTACCTTTCATTATCAAAACGGTCCCCAAGTACTACTTAATTGAAACTTGCGTGTCGAGGGTTGGCCACACTATTAGCATGATTATCAGTGCCGCAACAAGATGATAACAGTCTACGAACAGATATGCTTTGCGGTGTTTAGACTGTGATTTTCCGATCAGCAGTGCACCCACAGAGTTGAATCTCCAAAGGTCACGCAGAAACCGGTGACATATGATGGCTCAATGGAAGTTAGAAGGTCAAATGGCCTTATTCTGTTGGTTTTGCAAAAAACTGTCAAACCTTGAAAAGGTAGGGAGATACCTTCAGCCCATACACTGCTCAGTGCGATGAATTACTAGTAGCCTATGAACTGGGGACGGGATTACAACGTGGATGCTAGTGATTGTGCTCTATGCTCAAATGTGCATACTTGGCGCACAGGAGACGCAGTTGCACGCGTGTGTTGAATAAATCGGAATTTCGTTCTCTAGATGAACAGTAACTGGCCCACTACTACTCTTAGACGTTATCGGTTTCCGACGTGCATATTAATTACCAGACTATTGTTTGACCTCCGTCTTCCCTTCAGAAGGCAAAAGAGAATCGGCATCGACGTAGTCATTGTTCGTCCCCTACTGGCGGATTGGAAGAACGTAATGTACAGTTGGTGATCCAACTGACAGAATATGACTAAACTAACGAAAAATCGCTAACTAATCTGAACCTAGTCCGAACGCATCCACTAAAACATCAAACAATTAGTAAATAACCTCCGGTAAAATGGGGATGGAAGTATTACCAGTACTATTTCGTTGATTAGAAAAAATTTCCCAAAAGCGAAAATGTAGATAACGCGAAAACTCAAACACGGGAAGTCTGGAATTTCAGAAGAATTCAATACCTGTCCATGTAAATAACTGACTAAATAAAAAGGTATATGCACAGCAACCTTTCAAAATGTATTTTCTTGATACTAATTTTCAGTAACTATCCCCCGAGAATTAGTCTTCTATGAACGCTGGGACAAAGTCAAGAGCTAAATGTTCCTGCACGTGTTTCAAGACCCTCTTGCGCAATATCGACGTCATTTTCCGCTTTTTGTATCGTTTGAGATGCGGTTGACTAAAGTAAAGACGATGTCGCTTAATGTCATTGGTGAAGATGTCAGAGGAGTAAGTTTTCAAAAGGCCACATCTTGACAGTTCGCTCACTGACTGTTGAATCCGAATAGAATTGATAGACGAAAATGCAAGAATGCCATGTTGTGTATAGTAAGACTTTTCTTCCGACAAATTTATGTGCGATTATTGTCGACGGCGACCCCTCCAGTTTCAAGGTGCTTTTGAAATTTCAATGCTTTCAGTCTTCTGCCAATAATGATAGGTTTTGTAATTATTGATTGCCTATCAACATGTGGCCACATGTAGGCAAGCTGACCCACACTACAGATATACGATTATCTCCCCACGCCCATTCGTGCAATCGAGTCACTGGGGCAGTCATCTTTCCCACGTAACTCTAACTTTTATAAGCGGAAACAGACGACCAACTGACGAATGATTGGCTGTTAGTTAAGGTGAAGCACTTAAAATAGGGGTTTCCAGCGCGAAATTAGTTTCCTTCAGCAGGAATCGAGGCGCATTCCCAATACCCCCTCAATGATCGTCATTGCAAAAGTGGCAATACAAACTGCCAGCTAAGGGGCGGTCAGCCGCAGATTCTGGAACATCGCCGCGGTTACTCATTGGCCGAACCGGAAGGTGCCCGTTTTGAAGACAAACTTTTCGCTCCCTCAATATTGCATCGTGACTTGTGAATATACATCACCATTTGTGATGCACGGCGTGCAGTCTACGACTGCAGCAACAAGAGCTCCATTTTCAGACCAGGGCGTTGAAGCATTTGTTGTGGGAAGAAAGATAGTCGAGAATTATTGCAAAACACCTATCTAACCACCTCTTGTCATGTGGCGATCGACCTCGCAAGTCACACTGCCAAATATGCCAAAAGTGGAGAACGAGGAAGGAGGCGATGCGATGGCATATGGAGGATCACACTCTGAGTAACTTCCGGCAATTCCAAAACGCACTGTAATCAGGGCAGCTGAGAATTAGCGTCACCGGAACTCGCCACTGAATTCAAAACGTCCTTTGATGTCGCCGCCGCTGCCGCCGTTGTGATTGCCTTATTACTACCGTACTGCCGTTCCGTGTCTCTAATAGTATAACTCGTAGCCGGCAAACCTCGGCCCCTGCGAATCGATTAATTGCCCATTGAGTAGATTCATGAATGTGACAACAGAGCTACCACCAGCCGCGCACAGAAAGCGCGCAAGGCTTCGGCAGAGAGCTCTTTCGTTTCGAAAGTCAACGAATAGAATGCTCAACTTCGGATGTGGTCCCGACAACATAGAACCAGCCCGAACACTAAAATGTTCCCAACTGGCGCCCTGAGAGCGGACGACAAGCCTATGCTTCTCGTATCACAAATTTGTGCCACCATGTCCAAAACACATAATGACTACTGAATGTGACGCTGTTCTAAAACGCAAAAATCGTTCTCTATCACGGAGTAGATGTACTGCAAGACACTTGTCGAATGTATAAGGTGCAAACACCAAGACTTGACAGATTACCAAGTATTATGTTACCACCTGTTCGCGCTCGGATTTCGCACGTGTCAAAAAATAGTTTAATTCGGAATATGAGGACTTCGATATCACTGCAGTTTTTCTGTCCCTGATCGATAAAAATTTCTTGGTGTCTGCACCGCGTTGACACGCGGGTCAAGCTAACTCAATGGACCTTTTTCACGACTGAAACATATCTGCAATTGCTAGTAAAACCGGAGCTCCCAACATTCCGCTCTATTGTTACCTAATTAGCAGCAATTTCCACAGTGAGCAATGACAGCCAGCAGGAACCCTTTTCTGGGTATTCGTGTAAACAGTGAGCTGCCACGCTGTCATGTATGCAAAATGGTCTCGCATAAGTCGATAAACAGGATCTTGCTATTTATGGCAGGTCCTTCTAGTCTCTAAGACAACCCCTCGGTGAGAAGCCACTACTTGAGCATATTTGCCATATGTTTGTACCGTTTTCATGGAACAAAACGACCTTATAAAGGCGGTACTATCAGGATACAAGGGCTCGATTTTTTCCTGAAGTAACTAACGTGTCAACTGAGATAGGGACCGGCGCTTTCTCGCGTTACTACGATTGTCAAATTGTTGAATATGACTTTATCTTGAGACAACGACAAGAAACAACTTGCTGCTAGCAGGTTATATGGATACCCTGTGATTGAAAATACTGCAACATCTTCCAGTACCCCGTGCTTAGTAAACCGAGTTATGCGATGCTGGACGCTCTTTTCCACTGCGTGCATGTTCAATTGCCTGCTATAAGGACTCCCTTACTTACGGACTCCTTTATGACAAAGTATGCGTGATTCCAGAACTACCTTTCAAAAACAGTCTCTTGCCTATACCTATCCACCTACCTATTTGTCTGTTGCCTTTGTGCATAACATGTGCGGACCTCGAAGAGGAAACAACATTTTTTAAACAGGCTTTCTAATTGATAGATGAACCTGCAACATATTTAAATACTGATACGTACGGGGCCTAATCACAGGCGAAATTATGAACTGTGACATGCTGGATTCACCCTGAAAATCTGCCCCGTCTACTTCTGATGACCTTGCCCAATAAATTCACGGCCAAAGTTGGAGGCTCCCGACATCCCTTATTCTAAGAAATGCTGATCATATGTGAACTTCTGTTTAGTCCTTTTTGAAAACAAATGGATCGTCTTCATGTAAGCACCGATAAATCACGGACGGCACTGCATATTACTTAGGTGTCTGTAAATCCGACTGAGGTTCCCGTGCGCAGTCGTAACATAGTTCACTGTGAAGTATGGAGAGGCGTAATCAGCATGCAAAAACCTACTTACAACATTTATAACCTAACCATTCCTAGCAGTTGTATGCGGACGTGCTACCAACGTCCTGAGACTACAGCGGTTTACTGGGGGATGTAATTTCCGGATTGTGGCTTTATCAAGCAGAGGTAGGCTGAGAACACGTTTTGTGAAAAGGCTCAGGTAGTCATGACAAAACATTAAAGTCCTGAGAACCAAACCGAAAGGAAGGAGACAAAGTAGTATGGGAATTTTAAAAAAAAAGCGAAAGAAAAAAAGCAGGAAAACAAATTGATTCAAAATTAATAGACGAGAGCAAGGTTAGACTAGCAGGTAAAAAATGCTCCGAATAAAATTGAGGCATGATTAATTGATCGCATAATCTGAGTAAGAACTTCTGGTTTCATGACGGAAGGCAATCTTGGCAGACTGAAGCCTGTCGGCACAGATATTATGTGGCCAATTAGATAAAAAGTTTTCAGCCCGGTTGGCTTCGGAACTTTGCTGTCCTCCCAACAATCAGCTAGCGGATTGGTTGACGGATAAATTTAAACCGATCCAGAGTGAGGTAGAATCACATGACTACAAGGAGAGCTTGGAATTCGAACGACGACGATTGCAATGGAATGACCGCTTTCCAGTTGGGCGTTCCAAATAGCGGCTATTCGTGCGATTTCACTGTGTCAATTTATGACTAAATTGTTTGCGAATCCATCTCCCCTTGGGGGAGTACACTGATATTTTTTATGTTCTTTTCGCCTCGTCATTAACATCTTCATGATTACAGATGTACAGGTCAACTAAGGTGTGCAGTCCAGATTTGTAGAAAAGGCACATTTTTCAATCAATAATATGTTGTGCATGGAGGAAGCGGGATCCCATTCTTGATGGCCTACTAAACCCCATCCCGAATGATTTACTCCACGTTGACAATTAATTTCTAAGGAGAGTAAAAAGCTGAAATTCCAAAACCGGAGTATCTACCAGAAAGTATGAAGGGGACTCTGGAGAGCTCACTGATGAGACGAACCCTTCGCGGCCGTGTCATGCAGGAGCATAATAGCGGCGAAAAATGATTCTGGGCCTTTAAATAGTACTGCTAGTGCGGTAATTCATGCAACATTTGATGATATGCTGTTATTTGTCGATATGACCAGTAAGCGTCTTTAAATTCGACTTGCCTGGGGGCCCCACGGACGAAGACGACCGCCGGCGATATGAACTGTCCGATTCGTGGTTCTCCGACCTAGAATTGGTAAATTATCACCACGACCCTCTCATCCTAAGCAAATCCGAAAATCTGCTTGGGCACTAGGGGGGAGGACAAAGAACTGCAAGAGGGCACAGCGACACTTACTCACAGTGCTTTTACTAAGAGCTCGGTGGGCTAGCACCCGGGCGTGGACGAATAGGCCGTTGTCGCGATAACACTGCTTACAATAAATACTATGACGGATTGCCCAAGGGTGACCTACGGTCACTCTGCAGTCATGCGACAAGTGCAGCCCATCAGTGCTTTATCACAACTGTTTGCTCCTTTGGCTTACAGTACTAGTATGACTGCAAAACCTGGGCAAAGAAAATTCGCACTTCTTCAGCATCTCCATATCTGATCCCCGACCTCGGTCTGAATGAGCACACACCCCTTTCCCCCGGGCAAATTCCTCATTTTATTTGTACTGCCCTGTTTGACTAGATAAATCTGCAACTTGGAAGGATATGTCAGCTGATCCCGTGACGGCTAAGCGGAGTGGTGGGGTCCAGGAACATGGTCCGGAACAGGACCGAAGGTGGGCGACAGAACTTGGCCCTAAACCCCAGGACTCAAGGTTCAGGTAGGGACACGTTTTAGGTAAGAAACACATGGCTGCTAGTGACCTTACAAGTGAGTACTCCATTTACTGAATTGTTGATCTGTTCGTTCTTGAAACTGTAAAACGTACTATTCAGTTGCACATTTGGCTCTGGTCTTTCCTCATTTGCGCGCATACAACGTCAAATCAGCAGACGGATGAACAGACATAGCCTATCAGTACCACGCAGCCTGACCCAAAGGACAGCTGAATCGCTGTATATATAGTCAAGAGGTATGAAGGGGGAGGAGATAACACATACGGCGTGTGCATTATAAGTTCCTGTGTGGTGTGCGTTCCCAAGGGTGCCAGTAACCGTTGCGATAGTTGAAGAACTCCGTTGTCGGGATAGCCAGTTCCATTGATATTTTGACCGCCATCTGGTCAATCACTCATTGCGTCTTTTAAGAGCTACCCATCTAAACTCGCGCGTGGACCACAGTGCCTTGCATGCCAGGCGCCGTTGGGATTTACGCTGTACACAGACGGCTCGGACAACCGAACATCGATGGGGTCTTCGATGCGGATATGCGTGCGTAAAGCAACCAGGTCTAGTGTGACCAGTGAACCGACCTTGTTGAAACACCATGTCCCCACAACCATACCACCATAGGCATCTAACATCTGGAGAAAATACCGTCAACTGTATCGCCGGTTACTACGTTGCCGTAGCCTCAGGCCGAAAGTAGAACCGAGCATCCTGATCTCAAGGAAGTGTCTGAGTGAATTCCCGTTCGAGCTAAATGGGTGACCGTGACATTTATGATACGCGGGGGGCGGAAGGTAAACGTTTCTTCAGCCCGTGTCCAGTCTCATTTCTGGTCAACCGAACTCGGTCGTTGTGCGTGCTGAGACGCATTTTACCGGAACGAAAGGTGCCGCCGAATGACACGACCTCCGACTGGTTTTCAGAGAATGGCTGCCCATACTACCCTATCAACTTGTGCAGGATGAAATGGCATAAGAGGGCGTCAGGTATTTTGGCGAGCGCTTTCTCCGGTACACGAAGGATGCATCGGAGGCCCTCAATTGTCTTCACACCCCACCCGACAGGCTGGGGGCGACCATCCGGCGTTAAACAATGCGACCAAAGGATCCGCTGCACGACAGTAAATTCCATGACTCGAGCATGGCGGTTGTGGACAAAAACAATTCAGGCGGAAAGTGAGGTCTCACTGGACGTAGACTAGCGGTAAAGAAGCAAGCGAATCCTAGAGTTCTGGCTCGATGGGCAAGTCGCGGCCACACCTCCAACTCTGGAGAAGCCAAAATCTGGCAGGAGTTGCTCATGTAGCTCGCACGTCAGGGGATGGGGGCAAGAATCACCTGTAGCACAAATAACTTTGCATTTAATTCTAGGGTAATTAGGACTTAGCTTAGGGTTAATATTACGGTTGCGGTTAAGACTTGGATTATCGTTAGAACATGGCAATATGCACCATTCCTGGAATTCAGCGCAAGACCACCTGTATCATGTGAGGAGGGGTGGGTGACTTCCCTGTTTTCTTGTCCTATCCGGGGGACCATGTATGCAATTTCCACCCCAAAATTCTCGCAAGCGGGGAGAATTGTGCTGATCGCGAGCTGATTGAGCTCTGATATTTTGGCTCAGAGTCGTTTAGGGATTGCAGTCACCTCTGGTACAATATCCAGCGTTAAGACTCTTCCGGACATATTAACTGCTCGCAGTGATATACAAGTACAAGAACTGTGAAATGCATGCAAAAGTGCAGGTAACCATTTGAGCTCACACGCCCACCGGTGTACAAAGAACCAGGGATAGGACGACGAGAGGTAGATGCATTATCCCGGCTCAGTAACCACGCGACGGTATATGATGATACATGAGCACTAAAGATGACGTAAAAAACGTCGTTTTCAAGTGGGACAGCTGTACAACATTCGCTTTCTGCCGAATTAATTGGTACTGATTCCAAAAATACGGTGCCTGAGTCCGTAGCTGCACAAAACCCGACCTAACCGACCGCTGGAAAGGGACCCCAGTTCAGTCTTCGGTGAGAGAAACACAAACTGCAACCTTCCTGAATCCGTAGTAGATGCATCGTAGGCAAATGCGGATGTTAAGCAGTCCATGGAGTTATCTGAGGGCAGCTAACTGGCGACATGAGACATACTTCTGCTCGGTTTTGACATGAAAGCTCTTTTTTTCCAAGGCGCCAAAACGAATCTAGGAAAAAGAGGAAAGTCTGGGCGCAGTGTCGGAGCAGAAGAGCCGATGAACTAGACCTCATCCCAGTGCTTTAGAAGTAGACGTTCTAGCTAGATACTATTAACAAAAGTGTTTACGGCCTCAGACTGGTGCAGTTGCAGGCGAAATGAAACGAAATGACGACCTGACAGACGCTACCGGAGGTTACACCGCAAGCAGACGGGTTGAACACTTTGCCTCTCATCTTCTGCTTTGATTCAGAAAAAAAAGATCTCTACATAAATAGGTGCAAAGTAAACAAACAGGTAAGTGGGGGGGGGAACTGTACAGACGGGTACAAATACTTTTGCAGCAGGGGAGTGAGGCAGAATAAGGGGATTTCAGACGGATTTGCAAGCATTAACTCAAGTACGGAATACGGAACTACTTAATTTGAGGAGGAAGTAAGTACTAACTAGGAAGAGAAGAATCAGTTCATGTCGACTCTGCTGTTTGACCTTTGCTTCTAGAGCGGTGATTCGCAGTAATAAGTCTTGCATCTGAGAATCGAGGGTCGGTGCCGTAGCCACGACTGTGACAGTGTCATCAGGGGCGGCTGAGTTATTGCCCTGACGCTTTTCTTCACTTACGACGGTCTGCTCAGCGCCGTCAATGGGGAGATTACTGCTGCGGAGAAGAAAGAGATGGTGTGAATAACGGAAACACATTCCAATGATTTATTACAGACTAATCCTCACGCTGAGGCTCGCACGCGTGTCTCCAAAGGAACAGGAAATCTTTGGTTAGACAAGGTCTCAGATATGCAACCATGTTCGGTGAGGAGGTCAATTTCAGAATTCGGTCAATACTGCACGAGTTCTGCTTCGCCTTGTAAGCGGTTGTGGTCGTCATCAACATGTCTGTCGTCGGTTAAAACGTAAGCATGCATTGGAGAGTCGGATCGAGCAAAGGTCAAACAATGAAATCGGCCGGGACAGGAAACCACAAGACTCCTCACGACCACCGCCAGTGGAAACACGATGCTGACAGTTGTGGTGACTAAACTCTCCATCATAAATTTTAGGGAGCTTCACAAATCGCTTGGTAGTTTTGATACAACTCTGGTTTATTCGCTAGAATAGGGGGACACCTCGGGATTGGTGGCCGTCATTTTGAAGCAAACAGTTTCAAATACCCTGGGGTGAGACTACTGCCGCACGGACGGGGTATGGATTATATCGCCTCCTGGATCGACGCTGCTCGCGGGGCTTCCACAATCCGTAGAAAGTGTCTACGGACTCGAAGAGATATCTCCACTGCCCGGTCAGAACTCCTTTAAGATTGTGAATGCTGAACCGGGCGCATGGAGGATGCGCGAGAACTGGAGGTGAGTGACCACTGTTACCTGAGAAACAGTTCACGAGCGAGGCACATTGGCTTAGTTTCTAATGACAGTTCACACTCCCTCTGACAACGTCGCGAGGATATCTAAGAGCATCCAAGGAAGATGACTGAGCTAGTTTGGGGATGTCCTTCGCCGTCCGTCTCATGAATTCAGTGCTCCTACCCTTGATCTGGTGCTCTTGCCTACCTGGGAGATCGACTTAAAGCCTGACTCGACATCCAAGACATGGAAGTGGTTCTGGGCCTCATTAATGCGGTCTCCGTCGGTGGAGAAAAGGGTAAGTCGAGCAATCCAGATATGCGCTGCAGATCGTCGCGTGTGAGGAGGTGAAATTCGCGACACCAAAAAGGTCAGCCAGATCGGGCATGATCATAGTTGTACCAAGTACATGCACGAACACAGATTTATGAACATCTGCGTCTACGAGATTCTGGCATACCTGAACGGTATGACAGGGTAAAAAGACAAATGTGTTTACTTACCGAAAGAGGCTGGCCTCACTAGAATAGAGTGGGCCGGTGGGAATCCGTCGATGGCTGATCCTGTCAATGCTTGGATAGGTTACTTGTCCCAGAACCATGGTCTCGGGGGGTGGTTCAAGGTTTGGACGTGTGAAGGTGTCTGCAGGTTTTGGACCTTTGAAAGGGGAAAACCAGAAAGTGATCACATTTTTCAAAAAAATACGCAGGGGGGTTAGCAAGACCACCCTGGGAATTCCTTGCCACTCCTCATTTACACTAAAGTGCAGCTTATTAAAACTGCGAGCCGAACCCCATACCCTGCGACTGTACACAGATTCCCGTGAGCAGAGAGTAATGTTTAGGCAAGCATTTGAGAGGCGATCGGTCAAAACGTGCGGGAAACTCCTTGCATAGTGAACAAGTAAACATCTGTATTTTCTAATAATGGTCGTAACCACGGTCAATCTCCTACCGAGCAAACCTTTCTGTAGTTTAGACACAGACGCTCAAGAAATGATACAAGCCGGTAGCATGACAAGCCATTCTACCCCCATATCATCCATGGAGATGTCCCTTATGGAGGACTCGACTCCGTTGCTGGAGGAGTACGCGCACGAAGAGACACTACAAAGGTCGTTCCTATGCACAGAAGGCTGAAAAATCCGGAAGTAATCTATTTGACATGTTGAAGGACCTTCTACCCCTTGTTTTCATCAGCGTTGGCGGTAGTCAGTCGCGCTTGGTTGTTCCTGTCTTTTATTCCTTCCGGCGAGGGTTACCACGCAAGTGCGAAAGTCCGGAGGCCGACACGTCTTAGTCCCCTTTGTACAGATGATAGTTCACCTGTTGTACTCCACGATGGCCATCAACCACAGATTGTTTAGTATTTTGGTGGCGAGTGGGGGAGCTTGGCGTTTGGTGTGTGGATGGTGTGCGACGTTGAGTGTCGATTATTATTCTGCTGTTTGGACGGGGAATAACGACTGCGGGTGGACGTCCAGCAAGCAAGAAAGGCGTAGGAGTATTGCGAAAACCGACAAGGTAAAGTGGCAGTTGGGACAGTGCACATGGATCCAGGTCCCCAAGCCGGAAGATCGAGATTCCCATTCACTGGATCCCACAGTGCAATCTCGAACGCACGGGCGGGCGAGCCAACATGGTTTGCTTGTTCTCGTGTTTAGTTCTGCAGATTCAAATGGCGTGGCCTCTCAGTTTGGTGTGCTGTGGGCAACGTTTGTCAGCGTAGTGGCCAGACGATTGTTATGATGGATTAGAAACTGTCCTACAAGGTCATTAAGCTCTTAATGCCAACGAGCGGTGTGGACGCGTGAGAAAGTGCTAGATGTTGACAGCGTTGCTGTTCAGTAATCCGATGTAATATTCTTGCCGCGTCGCCTTAATCGGTATGCAGTTGGCCTTATTGATTGTATTTTCACTTTTTTCACGGAATCTAGCAACATCTGCCCAATCTGTTTAAATTTCCCAGTTCTGATTGGCAGACAAGCAGCTGATTGAGGTTTTCAAGGTGGCCCTTGTACCGCTTCTCCGGTACACCTTGTCTGCAATCGCCAGTGACAGCAGCGCCATAAAATGGCCGTTTTAGAAGTTCTTTTCAGCTGGCATCTTTACGACGTATCCACATCATCCAAGTTGGGTTTGCCTAAACGCTACAAGGACACTAAGCGTGTGTGTAGACTTTACAACCTGGTTGTCTGGGATCCACTTCTGTCGGCTCACATTAAAACCGATAGTGAGAAGTTGAAGTCAGACAAACGTTTGGTACTCTCTGGGGTTCTACGCTGTAGAGCGGCGTAACCAGCTTTGCGCCCTGTACCTCTTCAGTCCGATGTTCAGGAAGTCGCGGTGGCCCCATACTAAATATTGTGGCATACAAAAGGCATAACTAGCATTGAAAATCCAGGTCCTGACTTCAGCATATATGATCCTTGAGACTGTTGCCTAGGAAAATCTAAAAGGAGCGCGGGGACCACCCTTGTCAGTGACCGCGAGTCCAGGTCCCAGGTCAGTCTGAGGTTTGTGTATCCGGAGAGAATGGGGTCCAGAATCTGTTGCGTGTCTGACTCTGCTGTAACGTTGAGTACGCAGCTACCAGCAAGCAAAAACGCACAGATGGTGCCCCCGGATGCTTCTGCACAGGCACACGCTCTTTAATTGTTCAAGGACTTCTTAGCAGTCTGATGTTCGATTCCAATTCCAGGGTATTTTATTAGAGCAACGAGAGAATAGTTGTGGGTATGCGGTGGTAAATAGAGCCTCTGCGTGGACTGGATTGCACTAAGGAGAACTCATATAACACCGATCCCCCTTTCCTTTCATTATCCATTGTATAGATGTCGACGATGGCGATAGATTGTGTGCATAAAACCCCGTCTGTATGTGTCGCAACACGACCGGTTCTCTCCCTGCTGACCGACACAGGCATCACGGGGTAGTACGCACACCTGTTTCCCTCAGTAGGGGAAGAAGGGCCAGCTGAGGAGGCTGCTGCATCGAAGAGTCTTATTGGTCCACAGATGAGGGTTGATTGTCAGATGGGGCGACGCGTACTGGCCATCTAGTGCAGCAGTGTGCCGGGTGCAACCGTCAATTCGGCAATTAGATCCTCCTACATGTGTACCCCATAAACATGCTTGCAATAAGGGCACTGGACTAGCATCTTCTCTTCCACGTGAGTTGATGTTTTGTAAAGTTACCTTTCTTGCAAACAGTAAACATCTGATTATTGTATGTTTCGCGAGCAGATGCGAAAAGTCTATTATTGGTATCCCTCCACTGTGCCTAGATTTAGTGGTGCCAAATTCAAGTTAGTTTGGTTTCGGATTTTAAAACCGAAACTCCTGTTCTGATTCCATACAAATACGGCTTGAGTCTTTGGGGGAAGTACATTAACACAGAATACACCAAGACTCGTAAAAATTGGCCGACATCCTTAAATGTGTTTTAAAGACAGTAGTTAAGTGGCTTTAAATTGCCAATCTGCGTAAAACGTGCGCCCCGGAGTTAATCATTGGCAATGATTCAAATATGAATCGGGAGATGATGGGTCATGCTATCTCAGAAAATCGCGTGGGCGCTGCACTTCTCCTAATGGGTTTTGGAAATTAATTTACTCTGGAATTCACACATAGCTAGTACAATATACCATACTTGACAAAGTCCACACGCGTGGTTCGCCGATAGTCTGCCGCTGCATGGCACGGCTGCGAGGGGTTCGGACCATCCGTGGGTCCCCAGCGTCCCCGGTGCGCTTTCTGATGGAGGGTTTATATCTCGGAGTCGTTTTTCGGAAGCTATAGTAACATATGAAGCTCGCACGACCCAAAATGAATATCGAGGGGATTTTTCAGTATTGTAATGGGTACTAGAGAGACGAGTTTTGCTTACTCAGACAGAGAGCCTAAATTAATAAGGACTTCCCTATACTAAAAGGGTGAATTCTACTTCGGCTTATGCAAGTCGAAACTTGGGTTATGCGAATTAAAACTCGCGTAACTTCACTAGCTACATAAAAGTTCAGATCTGTTCGAAAAAAGATACCAATTGAAGCCTCGACTCACATTAAATTATCCTGAAAAAGGCTCGCCAAGAGGGAGTTTCCGATGCATTCTCAGGTCAGCACAATTATATACCAAGATTGCAAATGTCTGGAAATTGCAAAACTGAAGTGACTAGGCCACTGCGTACGGGTTAGTGAAGTTCCAGATTCGTACAGGAGCGGGGCGAGAGAGGCCTTAGAGAATCTCTGACATTTTTAAACCAGCAAAGTGGTGGAAGTGTAAATAGACCACCGAACACGAGGCTGCCATCGGAGTAGGCAACGGTGCGTGCAATGACCTGGATGACTGCAACTTTGTTTTGGTGCTGACCCTTACGCAGGAAAGTACGAGGCGGCTAGTCCTTGTCCGGTCTCAGCTCTAATATGCAGGATTCCCAGCTAGAGGGACAATTGAGATCGGACACAAAAGTCCCAGATGGTATGCATCGCTGCGGAACAGTGGTTACGCTGCGTGTGAGAAAAACGAGCGCGTTTCCCTTGTCCTAGAAGCTAGCTTACTAGCCCGCGGTGAAGTAAATAAGCTGGTGGTTGACAAGTGCCGTTTTTAAATTCCAAGGTACCATAAAATCCCCTCTAGCGCGTTTGGCCTTCTGAAATCTGAAAGCCATTTTAACTTTTTACAGGACACAAATCCGTTCTGTGGGCTGTTGCATCAGTGTTGGTATTAGGCACTGCATGTACGTGCCTACAGACTACTATCGGAAGACAACTTTACTGTGAAAACCTATGAGCGGCCGGACTCACAAGGACAACGAACAAATCGTTTATGAAGTGCCAATGGCACCTACAACTAGGGATATGAAAATTGACTAGCATGTGCGATTAAATAACATGAAGATAGCTGCCGTGGAACAGAGTATACTGGTATGGAAGTGCGGCCACGCAAGTCGTGTAATAAACAGCCGTCAACCACATGCAACTCCAAACAGTGAAAACGGGTTACTCAGCACAATATGATTGTCGCAAAGCTCCTCTACTCTTCTAGAGAGGGCTGGGGGGTCAATAACACCGTTTAACATAAACTCGACCCGAATGCTGGTCTGTATTTCATATTAAGGCGAGCGGTTCAAGGGCGCGGGATGGCGGAGGTGAATGAACCCGACTTGAGGTAGTATCTCAAGCGATGCATTGGAAAAACGTTCTGTCATTTCTTTGCAACATTTGCTTGTATTTAATCGCGATACATTTTAAAATCTCCCAATTTAAAGTGTAAGACCATAAATCCCCTATTAGACATTAATGTGGAAAAAACAGCTTATTTATAGCAGTATCACGGTCAGAGAAACGAGGATTTCTGCTGGCAAAAATACTGTGTCCGTGTGACAGAAACGCAAGGGTGGGGAGAGGACAAGTGGCACGTTAAATGCAACTAGCGAAAGACTGAAGAGATGGGAATTTCGATTGTTCTAGCTGCTTGATGACAACTATCGTGTCATTGGTTAGAGCGAACTTGCGCCTTGATATTATCTGACCAACTTCGACTATACTAGCAAAGCATTCTTGATGGGTAAAGAAGCGCGACTTTGGAAAAAAAGCGGTAAAGGCAGTAAAGCATCCTACTTTCGGGCTAGGCAATTCTTGTGCAAAACGTTTGCCACCTTGAAGAAATGAGTAGTTTTAAATAGTTACAAGCTAACACAGTGTCCAGAGGCCGAGACCGCCGTTTCTGTAGTTTTTGCTCGCCCTCATAGGCACCTATGGACCAATAATGGACCCTTGGTCGCTACGCCTCGTTAATTTATGCACAGTTTTCGTGCAGTCTTTTTTCTCTCGGTAGCACTGTCCTGAATCTCATGACGCCTCTTCTCGGGGTACAGTGAATTGGGGGATGAACTTGACATCTGACTCCATGTAATTCGTTCAATTTTGAGACAGGTTCTGGGTCCGAAATATTCGGTATTAGCCATGGAAAAAGACGGTGCACATAACTCGAGATATGCGTCGTTGAAAATTGCAGCGTTTGGAATAGCGATGCGCGCAATGCTGTTGAGGTCGACTAGGTAAGTCGAGTAAATGTAGAAGAAGTAAACCATGCTCAGCCCGTAGTGATATTTACCTACAACGTCGCGTGGCATCAACGTGTAATATAGGTCATTTCTGCTCGGTCTCAACAGTTACACGAAATGAAAACCTAGCTTAAAAGGACGGAAAACGTGGAGGAATCAGTCGACTCAAACGTCAGTGGGCATGGAACACAGCAAAATTGGTTTGAACAGTCTACACGCGGCATCCATATCAGGGGGACAATGACCGAATAGTCCAGATGGATAATGTCAACGGTCAACACTATCTGAAAGTGAGTAATTGTTTCTCGGCAACGGGTCGCATGCCTTGTGAGTCTTTGGTCAGATAAAAGCATAGCAAAATGGTCGTCACAAAGGTGATACGAGTATATTCGTAAAGTTGTGAAAGAACGGCAAGTAAAGCTTACGAGGTTAGGCAGAGAGACTGCTAGAGGGACCACACGCAAGTTGCGTGGGACAACAATGGAAAAACAAATGATAAGTAGGATAGTAAATGGAGTTAAGAATGGTGACGATTGGCACTTGTCAGAGATCTCTAGACTACTAAGATGAGAAAGGCATAAACGTCCGTAATCGGCCTAACGTTTAGTGAAAGCCTGTTGAAGCCTTCTGCTTCCTCAGACAAATCAACAAATTTTCCAACACTGCGCGACAACACGTGAGGATTCTTGATGCCCTTAACAGAGTCCAGGAGGACAGTCCCAGGACGCTCACGATCTGGTTATCCGGCTCATCAACAGGTAACAAAAAGTGGAAAACTAGTTGCGGAACGATTAAGATGGCACTCGATGAAGAAACGGCTGCTTACAAAAACATAAATGTGATCATGATGTGGAGGGGAGAGCTGTGGCAAACCAATAGTCTTAGGAAATGTGGTAGTTCTATGACGTCCCTATGACGTCGTGATCTTGGATCAGAAGTGCATATCCTTTTTGTGGCCATTACCTTGGGGATCGGAGAGACACGGGAAGGACAGGCTAAGAACTGGGGTGGTGGAAGCATGCTCCTGAAGTTCCATGGCAGTATGAAATCCGGTATTCCAGTACTAACCGGCCATTGAACTGGGTGACAAATACCAGGTCGGTTCCACCAGAACGAAAAGTAGAGATACAGCGTATGCCGGAATATAAGGACTACATTTCCATCAGTAGTGTCATGTGAAACTATGGACGGTGACGCGGTGTAATGTGGACTGTGACTGTACATCAAAAGTCAACAATTGCGTATAACTCGAGTCCGGCAGAGAACTGCTCCAACTGCTACAATGGTGCAATTGTAAGAGTTGAAAGACTACATGACATTCTGGCCTTCGTTCTGAGACTAAAACCGCACCTAAAGACCGTGGCAAAACCCGTCTTCAACAACAGCAGGACATCGCTGTATAATAGCTGGCGTAGCATAAACCTCTCCTATGCGGCCGCCAATGCTTTCACAGTCGTCCTTCTCACTCGCCTCCACTTGAACTTCGATTCGCGGTAAAGATTTAGTGGGGGTTTTGGTCCCTACGGAAGGTTGTTCAACATTTCTCGCCTCACCGACCCGTCGAGTAATATCATATGATATTAGAGTCGAGCACCACGGTGGGCAGGCCGACTAACAAAAATGAGTAATCTATGGTCTTAAAATAAACTTACCATAAGAGAAGTCGGAAGTCGGGGCACTCGCGCGACCAACGACAATGTGGTGTGGGATTTCCATAACGGAAATATCTTCATTTGAAGGGAAGTCCGAAAATGCAAGTGACAGTCGATTAGGCACCTGCATTTGCGAGCTAATACCTTTGGCAAAGTCTACGTCAGCTTGTTTTTGATCATAAATAGGATCCATCAGAATACAGACTTAGAAAGTCGAACATAAGGAGTCCACAACACAAACTGGCAACTCGGGTGCAATATCTCAATATCTTCGCGGCTGAACAGGTGGTTTAAAACAAGTATTAAGGTTGATTTAGGTAGGAAAACCAGATTCCAACCTATTTCGGTATTTTCTACTATTTCGGGTGTTTTTGTTCTCCAGTCTTCGGAAAATGATTGTGGTAAAGAGAGAGCCGACCTCCAACAACGAAGCAATCTTTACTTCGACGTCTCGCAAGATAGAGTAAATCAGGGATTTGACAAACGCAGCTGCGAACGATATACAGTATTTAAAATAAACGTACAGTCATTGCCTCTGTTAGCGCTCACGAATAGCAAACGAGTGGGAGCCAGAAAAGTATTAAAATCTTATGCATTCCGTAGACAATTACCAGAAGGAGCGAAATGCAATACCGGTGGCTTTTATATAGATACGATGTACTGTTCACAGACGCATTTCTCTATTTAAGTCGCCTGTCATACCTTCAGGAATGCCATGAATTCGGCTCCACGCGCACATAGATAATGGTGCGAGTCGGTTGTAGGATGGGGTGGGAACTGCTGGATGCCTGAGTATTTCCCATCAATTCCACCAACAGACACTTTGACACACTCCTCTTCCTCCTCCTGCTATCACGTGCTACGCTCACCGGGCATAATGACAAACCCATTGTCCAGTCATGGACGAACGCCGTCACCAGACCGTGAGACCATTGTGAGTTAGACAGCGTAAACCTAGCACTGTCAGGGTCGGTGCCACCGTTTTCCTTCCCCAACACCATATGATTGCAAATTGTTCACTTGTTGTTGCACTCTCATGGTCTTTGATGCCGCGTTTAGGTAGGAGTCCGAAGGCTCGGGCTAAAATGCCTAATAATCCGGTGGCTGAACTTTAAACCTCTTTGTAATAACAATCTGTGATTCGCATACTATTGTACACTCGTCCATTTTTTCCATCTGCGCACAGTTTAACGATCTCCGGCATCTCCCTTCTTATGATGTTGTAGCAAGCGTTTAGTCTTTTTCAACTTATCCGACAATATTCTTTTTGAATACTGATTTTTTTTCGAATTAATAAGTTGTATAGTGAAATCAGTATTGTAATTGGAATTATCTATAGTTTCCTATCAAAGGATCACCTATTGAACCCACGGGTAAATGGTAGTCGTCAAAAATCCACTACCACCAGCGAACAGGAAGAAATTGTGGGCAACCTTCCACACTTTGTTATGTTAATATTAGTGTGTTTTTCTTCCATATATTTTCAATGGTTTAGTTCATGTCCCTTTTATATACTGAATCACGTCCATCTGTTCTGATGACGTAGCATCGAATTTCAGGTCGTATTCCATTCCGATATGCAAGATTTATCGCTTAACAACTAAGCCAACAAAGCCAGTAGATATCACCCGCGTTTATATCCAAATTTGGCCACTGTCAAATTTCTTGAAAAATGACTACAAGCTCGAAAAAAATGGTGCCTTTAAGAGAGTTTTGTGAATGCCTACAATGTATGACTATTCACCTTTAATTAAGCCCAAGATGGACATGATTATATTCGATACTGTATTGTAAAATAATGGCGATATAATTTTATTTTGCAGAACTATCATAATTCAAAGAAAATATGCTGAAGGACACGGAGCTTTTTTCCGGTAGACATGGGACGTTTTCCTGCCGCTGATATGAAGGTTCAGGCCACCAATGCATTTATGCAGCATCCCGATAACAAACGGTTTTACGGACGGGACAATTATAATATTTAGGCTGATAGGCAATGCCTTTGATGACCCTACAGTTGTTGTCAGCAACAAGTTCTGCAGTATAGTCGTTTATATAAATGAGGATCAGTAGAGGAGTGAAGACCGAATCCAGCGGACTACCGCTTTCTACTGGCACCCATTCAGATGCGGCGCTATGAATAATTAGGCTTTGGAGCCTGCATGGCAGGAAACTTTCAATCCACTCTAAAATGCTCACCCATATTCCACGTTACCAAATCTCCTGTTTAAGCCGTCGATGTGGCACGTTGTCAAACGCTTTTATGAAGCAGAGAAGACGACATTCACTAGACAGGCTTGGTCTCTGGCTTTTGTTCATTTTTCTTGCGAGCAAAGACTACTCGTAAGACATGAGTGACCACGACGAAATCCGTGTTGAACAGCACACGTTAGGTTTCTCTCCTCCAGATTCGGCACTAAATATTTCCTAATAAGTTGTTCCATGACCTTGCCCAAAATGCAGGCTCAACTAACAAGACGATAATTTTCGGCCACCAGTCTGGACTCTCCATTGTAGATTGCAGAAATAAAGGCTGTTTTCCATTCCTCCAAAAGTTTGCCTTCTTCCGTGAACTTTTGAAATATCATGGATGCTGACTCGCACACTATGTCAGCCAATTCTAGAAGGACAATTGGATAAACCCTATCAGGACCAGGTGATTTGGAAGGCTTCAGTCGGCGTAGTTCAGTCCTTCGTAACATGGACACGAAATAAAGATTGCCTTCAAATGTAAACGATGAAGCATTTTGTTGTTCTTCTGGGTTAGGTATAGGAGGAGGTTTCATTTAATGAGTGAATACTGACTTAAAGAAACTGGAAAATACTGATGCTTTTAACTGATCGTCCGACTGAATTACTCCGTTTTGGGACCCCAGCACCGGAATCGGGAACCGATTTCTTTTGGCCCTACGTACGTAATCGTTGAGGATTTTATGATACTTCAAAGAGTTTCGCAATATGTATAGCTCATAGTTCCATCAAAGCCTATTAGCCCATACATTCCGCTGTCGCTTTTATTCCGGCGGGTGTTCAGAACTCTCTGTCGAAATCGTCTCCGTACCTTCTTTTTCTTCTTAAACCCGATTTGTAGTTCCCGGTTTATTCACGGCAGATGTTTGTTTGGTTTCTTTTGTCTGAGTGAACAGTTTAGGTTAACAATCTTTTTAACCAGTAAGCTTAACTTTCTCCAGTATGCGTTAACCGTTCCCTCCGATGTGGTTGTCCATGGCATTGCCGAGACTTGCGCTGCCATGCTGGAAAAATCTCCCTTCGAGATAAGTCAACAAATAATGTTATTAAAGACCCATCGGGACCGCTTCATGACAAGTAAAAATAAATTCTCAAATGAATTTTAGACGGGTTAGGCAGAATCTGTGCAAAATGCAATTCATCGTTTCTGAACTAGTAGTCAGTTAAGAAAAATGATGACTGAGCAGTGCAAAAAACTTCACTCAAGAATTAAAAAATTGATTGGGTTACCTTTGCTGGAGAAAAAACCGTCGCTCATGAGAGGACAAAAATGTGGGCAGGACCGGCCTGCATGTGGCAGTATATACCGGATTGCAATCGGACATCCTCAGGGCAGAAATAAATGCTAGCCTTGAGGGGTGCGTATGCGGGTAAGATATGACTGGTCTGCATGTGTTATTGTATAAGGAATTAAAAATAGACATCTTCAGGGCGGAATCGATACGCCGGATCAGACTATTCGCGTCAAAGAGGCCAGACGAGAGGAACTTAGACGCGATCGGTCACAGTCCGCTTCGAGCCCAATCCAAGGAGTGGGTAAGGGAGGTACGACCAAAGTACTAGTAGATGGCGAATACTGAGGCTTCCGCCGTGAGCGTCGACAGACCGCTTGAGGTCGAAATGAGGAGATGACATTAACAACCACGAAAATCGTCGCTATGGGGGAGGAGTGATAGCAATGGACTTAGCAAACATTTAAAAACGGGGGTTGTGAAGATATAAGTGAGGGTTTCCAACAGATCTACTATTAAATCCCTGGAGGACCCTGTTTGAAGTCATGAAGCTGTGTTCGGGAATGAGGCTGTTATAAGTGCCTTTATAGTTTCCGGAGTTAGATGTTTGCGCAACTTCGATTCTAATGCCGATAAATTAGACGATGACCCAATTTCTGGTGGGAGATTATCCCAAAGGAAGATATATTTGGAAGCAAAAAGAAGGAGCACTTAGATATAGTGCAAAGAGTCGGCGGAATCACCATGGAGGAGTTGCGCGTGGCATAAGACTGATCTCCCGGAGAGAGTGTTAATGCGCGGAAGAGTGGAGTTAGAGTTGATGCGAAAAAGGAAGCAAAGGCCAGCTTCGAGTCCTCTAACCCACAAAAACTTAATGTTCGCCAGCTGACATATCTGAGTATAAGAAGTACCAGATGCGACTTGAGAAAACAGTTTCCGAGTGAAAACCCCCTGAACATCTTCGATTTTCGTATGGTCACAGGCGTTCATTCAACCAAGGACAGGACAGCAGTATTCGAGGACCGGAAGAACAAACGTTTGACAAAGTCTTAGCTTCCTTTCCGGAAGGAAAAAATTATGCGAGATGAACCCACATATCTGCGCGGCTTTGGTAGAGATTCTATCTGCAGGAGGTGATAAAGCAAGTTGATTTGTATAATTTAAACCTAAGTCCTTTATTGGTAAGCATTATGAGAGTGGGTCATTCTGAAAAATTGTGGGACCAGGAAGTTTGGCAGGACCAAAAGACACGAAGCTACACTAGGATGATGAAAACTCCCTCTGTCGTGTTGAACCCCATCTGCTTAATTGTAGTAAATTGGCATTAATTTTTTAACACAATCGTTTACGCTGTCGTTAGAATACGAGTTATCACACTCGGTCATCGGCAAAAGTAAGAGTTTGCGATGATTTGAGTTCAGTCAAAATATCATTGATGAAAAGAAGGAAGAATAGCGGACCTATAACCCTGCCTTGAAGTACGCCTCTCGTGATCGAGTGAGGTGTCGAGTAGCTTTCACTGATCATGACTATGTGATATCGGTTGGATAGATACGACACGATGAAGTCGAGTAGAGGAGGCTGGATGTCGAGAGCTCAAAATTTTACCAAAAGACGTCTTTGGTGCACCTCGTTGAAGGCTTTGCTGAGATCAAAGTATCGTTCGTATGTTTAAAGGGTTCCTCCCCCACCTTTAAAATCTTTTCCAGTTTATTTACTTAATAATGATAGTCGGACAAGTGCCTTCAGGATGTTGTGCAAAAATTGCGCCCCGAATCAGAATCGATCGTTGTCAGCAGGGCGGCGACGACAGTGTGGTTACCAGTAGACAACGGACGCGCAGCAGACGGGCTAAAAATGACGGAATAAACATTGTGCATTGTATCAGTGATTACACTGTCGGGTTTTTTACTACCGAATCTCCTCCCGCCAGACGGGCCAAGAGTTTGGTAATCTTAAAGGATTTCAACTACGAAGACGAAACCCGTACGGCATCTATCAGACTTCTCCAGAAAGTCTTGAAAACGGAGAATGAGATAAGAGACCTTAAAATAGAAATGGGGAAGTTGATGAGACTTTCTCGCCATTCACCCAAGAAGAGAAAGTAAGCGACGTCAATACTTCAGAAAATAAAAAGGACATATTTCAGCACAGTCTTACTAACTGGATCGGCCGAACAGGAAGAAGACAGCCCGTTTACGGAAGAAATGACAACTGAGAACCGATATCTTGTACAAAGAAAGGAATACATAAGGGGATTTCAAAAAACGCAGGGGCGCCCTAAGACATCAAGAAAAGATATATAATCCAAAGTGTCAGTATGAGAGAGCAAAGTCCACACACAATGTATGCAAATACCGCACTGCCGAAGGATGCATCGAGCGAACACGAAGCCTCAGTGGGTTAGGATCCCTACGGTAGCTATACCATGACAATTGCTCATGAATCAAACGATGATGACGACGGAAGTTAGCGAAATTTTGACTTCATGTATAAAAATGAACGCCAGGGCCCTCTACTTGACCGTGGCAAAGACATCGTCATAAAGCATATGTCCCAATCACCAAACGGGCATCTTGACCGAAAAAGAAATATATCCATAAAGCGAACTTCTGAGTCCGCTTTTCTGACTGCAAAAGAAAGGATCGAACACGATTCCAACCTTTACCGAGCATATTTAAATGCCGTCCTTCAGGAGGGAAAATGTGTTACCGTGAACAAAGTTTTCCGTTTAGGAAACATAGATGTGTCGGGTGAACTATCATCACCAATGCCTCTCAAAATCAAATTCGAAAATGAAGCCTATGCTTCCCATCTCCTATAAGCGAGGTCAGCGCCTCTTAATTCGCATAAGGAGGTGATTTTCAACCGGATTACAAACCGACAGAACACGAGGGAGCTCTGGACATAAGTGAAGAGGAGAAGGACGGGGAGAAAGGGTTGGAAATAAGGAAAGAAAATACAGATTAGGCGATCGTTCCTGTGACAAATTCCCTTTGTGATCATGGCTGGTTCCCTCCAAGAAGACGGACACTAAATGTGATGTAATCGAATATACAGAGCCTGTTTAGCAAGATGAATGAACTTTGGTTTTGGTCGACCAGCACACGCCAGATATCATTCCCTTGACAGAAACATGGCTTTCCAAAGCCATTGGAGCACTGCAGGCATCCCTCGGAGGTGATCAAATGTTTAGGAAAGACGGGAAAAACTGGGAAGGAGGGGTTGCTGTCTATGCTAGCTACAACCTAACCGCCGCCCCTGAGCAACATTTCACAATAACAGTGGAAGCGGAGATTTTATCTTTAATCATCTCGATTAAATACGCCCGACCGCTGGCGTTTGCAGTTGTATACCATCAGCCGAAACAGATTTCCGAACACGACAGTCTTCTCCTGACGAACCTGAAGAAGACCTGCTCGAACTGGTACGTATTTTTTTCGGGAACTTCAACGCCCGCAATATCAGCTGACAAACTCGGACGGTTTTGGTTCCATCGGACACATTCGGATAGCATTTGCTTGAATTGGCAGCAGACAAACTATTTTTGCAGAATTTTACTCTCCGAACACGTGTTTGGAAAGGGAAACGCTCAAATTGCCTTGACCTGGTACTCACTCGAGATGACGAGTGTGCTGAATGTACACTACCCCCCCTCCCCCAGTTCGTGCTAGTTATCATATTGTAATGCTCTTCGAGTACTCCATGTTTTCTCAAACAGATTCACCTGAACAATTTTAAACGGTTTCATCTTGACTTCCGATGGAAACAGATATGGCACCGTGGTTATTATCACCCAATTTATAAGTTAAAAACCTAATGTTATCTGGTGCCAAATGTATAAAACTGCAGAATTCATAAAATATTTTTCCGACCTCAACACTGGGACCTTTGTTGCACCAGTTTCAGCCGCCATAAGTTATCCGGTCGCTAGATGTAATTCTCTTAATTTAAATTTTGTGATTTCTGTTCGTATCTCAGTGCTTGGCCTGGGCTTTATTCCCGCACAGCCTCTAGAAGAAAAAAACAAAAAGCTACAGAGTTTCTGGTTTATAGACATATTTTATAACATACGGATTGGAAGTTTTTCAGGTGAGCCCTGAATAAATCCTGTATTACCCGACTCGAGTTCTACTTTGTTTTATTGATCTTCAGGACTGCCGGACTTTTCAGGTATCTGTTTTTCTGGGTGGTCGGATGTGCGATTCTGAATCAGCCCCTCTCCGCCCAGGGTAACTCCTTATAATAGTTGTATAAAGCGTTATCATGCGTGCACTGCTCCTTTTGTCGTGCTATTATTTCCCTGAAGCTGCTGTCGAGACATGCATTTATTCATTTGCAGGCGAACAATTGTTCGCCTAATTATTGCTCAATGATTATGATACCGGGGAGCTCGGGTGTCTGTTTAAGGTCACAATTTTGGCAAACGTGGTGTCTGTTTAAGTTTAGGATTCCGGTTAGTACTAATTTTTTGTCCCATGGTCCTAAAGCGGGATCAAACTCCAGGAGTTCCACACTTCGGGGTTGGGTATGACCGGCTGAATACGGCTAATAAGCCAGAAATTTCCGTTCTAGCCCCTATTTCTTTGTTTGTAATTTTATCCGCCATATATATCCCTGGTAGCATTTTGGCTAGCCGCCTTGTTTTGCGGGCTAGTTAGGGCTTGTAATCTAATTGGCTGACGGTGCCTAACCCTCGCGAGGAAATGATCCTTACTGTCGCACCCATGCAGTTTGCGCGTTAGGCCTGACGCCCACCTGCGGGACGCTTCAATGTCTCACTTACGTTATCACCTTCCAGCTGGAGTGAGCATGCATAGTCAATTCCGAATGGGGACCCGACACCTGACGTGAGCGACTTGACAAGACACTCGACGTCGGCCACACACAGCGTACTCAATGCATGCCTGTACACTCAAACTCCATGGGGTGGAATGTGGGACAAAACTGGTGCATATGTGCGCGGGGGAGGCTTGCCGTAGATCTGGCGCCACGCGCTCAATTGATGCTTATGTGCGCTCGTTTGTGAGATGCCCTCGAGGCTGGGGCGTTGGCTGAGCGCTGCATGAATTTCTCAACCCTCCTCCAGCTCGCCCGAGAGGCGGCGTAAATTTCCTACGGCCAGTCACACGAAAGAATTGCCGCGCGGACAGTGTCGGCTAAGACTGTTGAGAAGATTCAGCCATGCGGGAGACAAGTCCGCAACTGGGCGACCAGGGTGGCCCTGGGCGTCTGGAATGCTATCAGGGTATATATATGTATATATGGTTTTGAAAACAGGCATCCCAAGAATTATAATTCGAAAGAAATAAGCTCTTTGGGAAAGGTAAACAAGTTTTATTGTAAATTTTCGATCTTGGTTCCCGAAGTCGTCTTCAGACGTGAAGTAAGTGTGCAAAACAGTTAACATTTAAACACTCCGAAAAAAATCGATTTTGCTATGTCACTCCTGCTGGTGTAATGTTCTGATTGGCTAACGCCTTTTCCACTTTTCCTTGAGGCTGTTGTACACCGTATCCAATTCTACGTGTCGATTGATGCATACATATAGGTATGGGCAGAATGTTATTGCCGACAAAGACAAGGGAGACTGGAATGGCCATTTCTGGGTTATTAACCGTCGTCGGTCAGTCATACCCAACCCCGAAGTATGGGACACCTGGGGCTCGAGAGAGAGCCCTTAAGGCACAACGGAACGAGTGAGTTCCGTAAGAACGATCGGTGAGCGCTCCACTACTGTTGTATATTCGTCGATAAGAGCATTCTGCACACACATATACGAATGGAAAACGGGCATCCGAAGAAATTTAATTTTGGAGATGAAATTGGGAAACTATAACTTTCATTGTTTAAATTTTCGAGGTTGATCCCCCAGCTCGTTATCATACTGCGGATGTACAAAAACAATTAACTTCTTAAATGTCTAACAGAAGATTTTACGATTGGTCAGCGTCCGTGCCAATACGTGTTTATTGTATTTTGCCACCTCTTTAGGATTGTTTGCGCCAGTTTGAATCTGTCCTTAACAATATTGTATTTGGCATCTAGATAGATATACCGATTGATGCATGCCCCATGTGTATGCATTGCTATTAGAAATTCACGACCTTTCCTTATTGGGCAGGCGCCGATAATGTGAGTGTTCTCCCACGCGAGCTTGTGCCCAGTGTTCACTATGTGCATGGCCACCTGGGATAGATGGTCGCGTTTCTTCACCGCCAACTGATTTTCGTGTGTACGGGTAAAGACAGATTTCCCAGTTTGGCCACAATAGACGGCATCACAACCAGCGCATTGGATTTTGTAGGCAGTACCTTTTTATCGAGGTAGCCAGTTTTGTCCTTAGGGCGTGCACGCTGTGCATAAGATAGTTGCTGATGTTCTTTATCTGCATTTCGACTAGTCCAGATACATTTTTCAGGTATGTGAGAGTTCGCCAGGTGATTATTTTTGGCGCGTGAACGGCAGTTATATTGGAAATACCTTTCCCCTTGAATTGCTGGTGCCTCATGCATTGGCGTACAAAGTCATGCTCGTACACATTTTGGGAAAAGTTTGTAGGGGTATCCGTATAGTATCAGTATCAGTGTCAGTATATTTCAGGGAAAGTAGGTGTGTACCTTTGAAATCCATTCCATTTCTGCTCGATAACTTGCTTCATCAGGTCAGTGTGTTTTGGTTCGATTTAAAAGACTAACCTCAATAGTTACAGCTGACAATTACCTAATATTTTAATTTTAGGGTGATTGCTTAAGCTATGGTTGGCTTTACGATAAGGATTTCAGCTACGGATATATTTGGGATAATGGTACGGTTTGTTGTTGGCGTTTGGGCGAGGCTCTGGGTGCGGGTCTTTTTGTCGACAGGTTGACAGATACTTTCAATGACTTATAAAAGTTCAGCATAGGTTTTAGCTACGACATAACGCCTACGATGTCTGTTCGACAAAAACCTAATTTCGGAATGTTTGAAACTCGCCTTGTTTAATTCCCGGGAAATCTTTCGGAACAGACATTTTAAGGCACGGTCTGAAATTTGATATGAATATTTGAGCTGAAATCCATCAGCTACTGCGGAATAGCCGCGCTATATTCACAAACCGCCAACAGGCAGCCAGTAGTATAGCATTGTGCAATAATTTACCGTACTAACAACACAGGTATTAGCTAAAAGCCCAGACACGCGTGTTTCGCCGATCTTGTGCTGCTGCCTGACGCAGCTGCGAGGGGTTCGGCTCGTCAGTGGGTCCCCCAGCTTTCCCCGTGTGTTTTCTGGTATATGAACGCCAGTTTCATCTTGCCTTGCTTAATTTCCGAGGAAATTAATGCGCGAACTTGGAGTAACTCTTTCGAAACAGGCCTTTTCAGCCACGGTCCGAAATTTGATATGAACATTTGAGCTGAAATCCATCAGCTACTGCGGATTAACTGCTTAATATTCACAAACCGCCAACAGTGGCCAGTTGTATGGAATTGTGTAATTATTAACCGTACTAACAATACAGGTATTAGCCAAAAGCCCAAACACGCGTGTTTCGCCGATCCCCTGTCGCTGCCGGACGCAACTGCGAGGGGTTCGGCTTGTCAGTGAGTCCCCCCGCTCTCCCCGTGCGTTTTCTGGTATATGAACTCCATTTTCAACTTGCCTTGTTCAATTTCCAAGGAAATTAATGCGCGAACTTGGATTAAATCTCTCGGAACAGACCGCTGACGAGCCGAACCCCTCGCAACTGCGTCAGGCAACGGCAGAAGATCGGCGAAACACGCGTGTTTGGGCTTTTGGCTAATACCTATGTTGTTAATATGGTAAATAATTACACAATGTTTGAAACTGTCCATACTAGGGATGATTTCCATTGGTCATACATACAACTCAAGACTGTTTTAATTTTTACAATTAGCTGATATAATGACCCCGTTCACTCGATTCTCTACATTTTGCATATCGTTTTAGCTACGCTTTTCCAAGTGATATCTCGAGTGTTGTCGATCGCGTTTATCCGGTATTTTGGTTCAGAATATCTTTTAGTCAGACCTTTGAGAGCGCTTCGAAAAATCAGGTCTATGGCGTCGTCACACACAAGGTAGGCGGCAGGATACGGCTAAACGAAATTAAAGATTGGGACTTGCTAAGTGGTGGAACGGTGTTTGTACCGATGCATTGTGACCACATTATCCACCAACACCAACATTCATTACCGTATGAATTGAACGTCGCGACGACGTCAATAAAACGGATTGCCGTTGGTTGCTGGTATCCGTGGTGAGATTAGGGAATGGAGCGCAGTGTTGACATTTGGTCTGGATGCCTACGTCAAATCAAGATCCCGCATAGTGAGGGCCCGTCTTTGATCCATTCACACATTAAAGCTGCCTGAGAATAGCGAAGTATCAATTGTTGCTACAGCACTGGTAAACATGTTGCGAAGTTCCCTCACCTGGTTTTTTCCTCCTTGAAGATAAATTCAAGAATGGCTGAGCCTCAGTCACCTGATGTACTCTAACCTTTCCATGCCTGTTTTGGCATCTCACGGTGCCGAGGCGCCAGATTTTCGGTTCAAGACCAACTTCATCAGGGAGTCATTCTCTCCAGGTGCCTTGCTGCCTCTTAACTTAGGCATTGAATCAATGATTTATACCCGCAGTTGGGGGTCACGCGGAAATGCATGCGCTGGTGAGACATAAAGATCCTCTCTTCCCGTGCAAAAAAGCCTCCTGGGATCTCTAGCCTAAGAGCCTTGTATTATGTGCACTCTTTTTGTTTGATCATGCTCCGTGTACCTTTGACGAGCGTGGTCTCACTAATTCGTCCGTCGCATGGAGTTGGTGGAAAAATTACATCGCTGACCAAAGTGCAAGCAATAGATTTTCTCAAGCAGGCTGCCCATGTAACGTTAGAACGGGCGTGGCCCTGTTGGATTTTTAATGAAGATCATGAGACGTTCGACAAACCTGAAGATTTCGTTCCCAGCCTCTTCCACCAGTCACAACAGCCATCGCTGCGCACACGCAAGTTTGACGAAGCTAGTGGGAAACCATCGGCTGTAATATCAACTTTTCTCGGTGCGAAACAATTTCCGAAGGAATTAGTTACGGCTCTCGCTTCTCTGTTTAATAGGAAATGTCGCGGTTCTGTCAGGGACCGGCAGTCACGGACTGGGCGCAAGCTGGGAGGAAGCGTCGATAATCGAAACATCATGTTTATTTGCCTGTGTCTTCGAATTAGAGTCCGAAGTCGCCGCTAAGGATAGTACGTTATAAGAGATATCAAGTATGTAATGGATACGACTGTTTTGCAGTGCGGAATTGATTGTTATTCTGGCGTAGCAGTTGTGTGCGTCGGTACAGTTACCCGGCCTTCTGTTAATGCGAAACTGAATTAGTGTTTCTTAGAAAAAATTTCACTCGAGGTAATGTGGTTATGATCAGGATTCTGATTGAGCGCCGGCGTCGATGACGTTCTTTGCTCTATCCACTTAATGCTCGTGCTTCTCTCGGAGGGTTGATAGTAAGCCTTCATCAAATTTGCAAGCTTTGCAGGCATAGCCTTAGCCTCCTTGATAGGCACTTTTTTGACCGAATAGAATGCTACAGCAGAATCAGGAAAGTAGTCGTCTTATGTTAAGGTAAATACTTGGTTAACGCAACCTCGGCCAAAGGTAAGACTGATGCAGCTCTTTCTTGCCCATGCGTTCCTTGCACACCGAAAATAGCCCAAAGAATACTCGTCACAATGCCAATTAGGCGGAGATTTCTGCGATGTGACAAACAGTCCTGCCCATCTCCTTGAAGAAACTGAACGGCAATCTAGTGAAACGGGTCCAATGAAGCGGCTTCAGTGCACCAAACTTGTTGAAATAGCTTCTCAGGTCACTCAAAAATGTCACCGAAAGAGTTAACGAAGACTTCAGCTGACAGTCAGTTTTCACGTTGTGTCCACTGACCACTTTCTGACTGGAGCATCGCGACGCAGGTAATCACGCGGCTTATGTTACTTGCGAGAGTTACGGCCTCGTCAAATTCAGTAGTGCGATTATGTCGTGCTTATTCATCCGAGACTGCCATGATTAACTCTTCTGCTGATGCTAATATGTGTTCGACTGCTCGCTTTACTGACCCACCTTTCTAGATGCCACTGAGATAAGCATTTACCACCAATTTAAAGCTTGAGATTCATCAGGTCGTGGTGGCCTTTGCACACGCCTTATACACATGGATACCTATTGTTGTGTTCTCTACATATACGAACGAAAAGTCTTCTTTTGCTCTCCTATCTTCACCAGAATTGGGACCTATTATTAACGCGTTTCATACGTTTAAAGCTATAATTTTCCTTACTCCTATTCCACGCCGTTTTACCCACCTCAATCATTGGTTCCAGATAGTTATTTTTAGTCTTATTACTGGTGCAGATCTTTGAAGAAAATTTGGACTGTGCTGGTCAGAAATTGTGGCGTCCGATCACTCACCTACCTAGTAAATTTAAATGTCGCCTGGCTGTATAGTAGCTGTCTCTCTACGCTTGTGCTCATTATAGGACCTAAGCATGTTTCAGGAAAATAGTCTTATGAAGTCATATGCACTGTTTGGTTTCCTTCTCCCAAGATATGCGTGATAACATTATTATATATTCACTGGGAAGGCTGTTTAAACTAGAAAAAGAGTAAGCCTCTGGACCTGACATCTGTTTGCACGCATGACTCTGTTCCCGTGGGCACGATTTGAGTCCACGTATCCTTTCATCTTTTCTATCGAGTTAAACGCGCGTAGCTCGGCCAGTATCCTCAACTTTTGAAATCGACTTCATCACTGACTATCAATTTTCGCCGAAGTGCATAGTTATCTAATCATGCAGATAATTATAGCTCTGCTCTCGTAACGTTATCTGATAGTCGCAAGAAGTCTTTGAAGGCTGGCATATTGCCGCAATCTGGGCTTAGGAGTCTCATCTTCCCATCTCTCCTTGGGGTGCAGCTAATTATATTCGTTGTTTTTACGTTTTCAGGGAACAGAATGCCAATACATCAAAATCTGTAGCCGCTTATGTGAATTTCGACGAATGGGAGCGCGGTGTGGCGAAGCTTGATCAAGCCAGCCTGGATAAGTTAAAACAACTCTCCTCAAGTTGGTGTGCGGTCGAATCTAAGACTGAAGAGGGGCAGACAACACCATAAAATTTTACTATCGGCTGTTTTTTGGTGTATTGTTCGAATAAAGTGTTCTTGCCAGCGTCAAGCTTTTACTCCCCCTACTCTCTCTACGTTGCTCATTCCTCCACGCTCTGTTTCTGTTTTAACAACTTGGATATAAACGCCCATCCTGTCAATAAATACAGTAAAACTGCCGCAACCCTATCGTCTCCTGCGAGAATGTTTTTTTTAAAACGCAGCAAGTGCATGTTGAGAGATTTCCAATGTTTCGACACAGTTACTGGTATTTCTGAAAAGGCATTATGTGAATCTGCCCCGGGTCTACGATTAGAGTACGATTGAAAGTTAGAGAAAGTCAATCCTGTCCGTGACAATATCCCCTTGTCGCTTCCCATCTCCTGGGTTAGTTTGTCCTGCGAACGTGCTTAGCTGTCTCACTGCAAATATTAAGACCGTTTGGCTATATTGTATAGTCCTCATGATCACAATCTTCTCCATTGTTGCTCGAAGAGGCCTGCGAACCCCATCTTCATTACTTGCTCTTCTTCGACTTGGCCGGCGCTTGCACGGTGTCCGTGCATGGTGGCACAAACTTTGGCAATTCCCCTCTGACTCCCTCTTTGCCCTCATTCCCTGTAGCGGCCGTTCATTTACGTTTTTCTTGCTTGCACGGGAATTGTTACAGTACCAGCAGAGAAAATCATTGCTACAATGTACCCTGCTGCTTTATTTGCATGAATGCAACAAAACCAATGCAACAGCTTCGCGTCCTTTGGAGAACCAGTACACTTTGCTTGAGTCAACGTAGTCCTCCCCTCTATTCACTCGTTCACACAGCCTAGTACCTTTTGATTTGGGAGCCGTTGAGTTTAGTATATCTTTTCGGCACGAGGTAGACAAGTTCTTTTTGAGGATACATACTCTGCATTTAGGTTCTGAAATTGGTGCCATCAGAACCAGGGTGCGCGAGCACAGAAACGAAGGACCCTTTTACCTGTCACTGGCGATGGAAACTGATTTTTAGGAATATTTTCTGCCAACGGTGGATTTGCCGAGTTCTGCACACTGAATAACCGAGGGACTAAACTCCGGGGACTCGTCACTGCCGCTATGTTAGAAGTTTAATTCAGTTATTTTACTGTTTCTGAACTTAGTTATTTTTAACTTTACCCCCTTTCCTTTGTGGATTCTCCTTTTATCGTCAAGCGGACGTCCCTGTCTTCTTTTATCGTCGAGTGAGCGTTGTGTCGAAACCAGCCGTATGAAAAGTGTCGGGAAGTAAGCAGTCTAAGTCTAAACACCGTGCATGTCCACTTCTGCATTTTGGGTAACCGCTAAGCACACCGTTAAGTCACCTCGGACTCGGAACACGTTATTACGCCATCCTAGTCAGTATGCATAATGCAGCCTACTGTGTTTGTATCATTTGTGCGGACCTCGTCTTATTATAACGACAACCATCATTTTTAAGAAAAGCCGCAATTCCCTTATTCTTACTTTCAGGTCTAACTGCGGAGCCCACAGCCAAGGCACTTAATTGACGTTTTCTCGACCTTGTAAGGTCTTCCTCCGGATTTTAAAGGTGTACGATGTCGCGGTCAGCTCAACATGATCAGTGCCTTTCGCGGAGCCGACGGATTCGGACCGACTTTCGCAACACCAAGGTATGCCCCTATCGTGGTCAGGACTCAGTACTAGAGTTGGATTTCATCCTTTCTGAGCATCTCTGTTTTACTTTCTTATATGACAGTATCCTAACAGTCGCGGCCATCGAGGGTCAAAAGGACTCATCTTCCAGAGAAATATATTTGCTCACTCAGCACGTTTGCGTTTATACTGTCATTCTCAGTCGTCTTGACTTTTTCATTTCACTGGAACGCGATAAACGTGCACATTTTGA